AAAATGTAACAGAGAGGAGCTGGAGAGATGGCCCAGCACTGGCTGCTCTTCCAAGGGACCCAGGTTCAGTTCCCAGCACACACACATGGTGGCTCATAACCATCTGTAACTCCAGTTCAAGTGGATCTGATGACCCCCTGGCCTCCAGACTCCAGGCATGCACATAGTGGCATACATGCAAAGCACCCATACACATAAATAAAATGCATTTTATATGTAACAGAGAGGACTGACCCACATATGAATAAAACAGAAACATCTTCTATTTTAAATGATCAGAAGCCACACAATAAATATCCATGGATAAATAATACTCTTTAAAACCTACTAATGGGTGTTAGGGATTTGGCTCAGCAATGGAGCTTAGCAGGTGCCATGTTGGTCTCAGCACTGAAAAATAAAATAAAATCTACTACTAAAAGTACAGCTCTTTATGTTGGGCAATATCTTCCATTAGTATCAATATGAACAGTTTGGAGAAAGACTCTTGCTATGCTCTCTATACTAGCCTTGAATTCATGACTCCCTTGTCCCAGCCTCCTGTGTGCTGGGATTACAGGCATGTGCCATCACATCCAGCTTGTAACATTCGTTTTAAAATTTAATGCTAGTGAGCTAGTCTCCTTTTATAGACAGTGAGAGCCATGTGACTTACTTCCTTTTCTGACCTGTCAGAAAGTTCATAAATTTTTCTCAATGACAGTAGCTATTCTTAGTCTAGCTAAGTGTATACCCCTAGCCTGCCTGGGCTTGAGCCCTTTAAATAAACTCCCCTTGATGATTCCAGGTTGGAAGCAGCAGCAGGGCACAGCCTTCCCTGCAAATGGGCCACAGCATTTAACTAACCCCCTTGCAAAATTAATACCTCGTTAGCAGCCCCAGTTTCATCCACATTTCCCAGTCTCAGTTACTGGCATCCACACTTCCTCCTAATGGCTTCTTTTAAATAGAACAAAAGCAATGAAGTGAGTTGTTGGGGAAATATCTGGTCCAAGGTCAGATCTAAGTTTTAATTGTGGCTTCATCCATCCATGACAGAGATGGGTGAGCACATGATCACAGGCATGGCCCTTGGCTTCTCTGAACATCAGGCTTGCCTTCCATGACGGGAGCTGAGTACTGACCCCCAGAGTTACTGTGCCAATCACCTGCTAGTGTCAGGTACATGGAGATGCTTGATAAAGAAGAGCCTTGCTTTTCCTTTGTTTACCAAGAGCATTGGCCTGAGCTTTAGGACACATGGTAAAACTCACTCGTCCCACTCTTCTACTGATCATGCTGCTCTGGCCACTGTTGCCCCATCGCTTCCGTGCCATGGGACAGATATTTCCTTTGCTAAGCTATTCTCTAGGTATCTCTGTGGCTTTTTTATGTGATGTCTGTTCAAGCTCACCCCCTTCCTTAACCACCTGGCCACAAGTAGAAGGAGACAGAGACGGGTGCTACTCTGTACTAGCATCCTGTCTCTAGCTGTCAGATGCATAGTCTCCATGTGTTTCAGAAACACCATGCACAGTCTGGGATAGGCTCCTCTCACCCAGCAGAAAGGAGCCACTGCATAGATGGATTGGAAAAAATAACCAGATCCTCGGAAAATAAGAATGGATAAGTTCCACTTGTGCCCAAATGCCCCTTCCTTCTAATCCTATCCCACAATGGAAGACAAAGAGAAAGTACACATAGAAACTAAAGCTGAACCTGGGTTAGTGTCTGGAACCCATCCCCAACACTCACACAACCTCTTCACTCAGCAGCCTACATAACGGTGCTAGGACACATAGATGCAAGCCAGAGGAGAGAAGAGGCTGCTAGACAGAACATTCCCAAGGCTTCAGATCCCAGCATGGCCACGTGGCAAAACAAGAACACAATCACACAGGCCCTGGATGTCCTGCAGCTGGAGCAGGGTGACAACAAGATTCCTTGAGGTCTGGTGTCAGATTCCAAAATTCAGACAGGTAAAGGGCCCATCAAGTGTCATTGTTATCTTTAAAAGCAGCCTTTCTCATACTAACACACACACACACACACACACACACACACACACACACACACACACACACATTTGCCAAAGCTCCTCTTGCCACCTGTCCCTTGCCTTTCGGCTGAGACCTGACCTTGCTCAGTGGGAGCTCCAGGTCCAGCTCCTGTTCACAAAGTGTCAGGACTATGAGTGACATTTGCCCTGCGGTACCTTCTCCTTGTTTACGCCAAAGCCATAGGCTCCCACTCCAGCTCCAGCAACAGGATACCCTGCAGATCCCATCCTGGGCAAAGACAAGCTCCAAACACATCTGTCTTTTCATTCTGGTGTGGCAGGTGCAGTAAAAGAACAGCCTTGTGCCCCAAACTCCACCTCAGTGGGCTTTTCTTCTAAGAAACACCTGTGGGCATGTCATACCCGAGTTGTCTGCCCCCAGGTAAAATGACTCATGTCCGAGCCCTTCCTGCCTTGAGAAAAGAGGTTTTCTGAAACCCGGAGGCCTCTTTGGGATGCTGTGTCCTCACTGTCATGTCAGTCTGGATCCTGGCTTACTTACCCTCAGACTGGGCCACATTCAAAGACTGTAGCAAGGGGAGACAAACAGGCAGAACTGGTGAGTGGCACTGAGAAGTGACACCACTGCTCTGTCACGTATTCCTCCTTGGTAAAATGTGTTAAGAAAACTAAAGCTTGGGGAATCACTTGGGCACCCTCACCTTCCCTACCACAGAGAAAAGGGGTCAGCTTGTCCCATCACCCTTCCAGTTTCACCTGAAGTCATTCATTCCAAAGGACGGGTGTTAGAATACCTTCTCCTCCTCATCTTCTCTCAACTTGTGAGATGCTGAGAACCAGGGTCCTGGGTTGGGGGAGACTTACCTCGAAGCCCAGGGGCTGCCATGGTGCTGGTCCTGGAACCCAAGCCCCAACTGGTGGCCCTTGGCCGTACTAGCCTCTGGACAGGCTTATGCGGTTGCTGCAGAGTTAATTCCATCGCGGCTCAGCTCAGTCTGGACGAGCCTGCCCCTCCCCTGCGGCTGCCACCTCCTCCAATCCATCCCTCTCCCTTGACAGTCCTGGTGCTCCTCCTGCACTGAAAGCTAACCTAACATCCAGAAAGGATCCCAAGCTCAGGTGCAGACTGGTGACACACTGGAGTCATGGGCTGCCGGCCAGGGAGTAAACGCTGCTGGCACACCTCCACCGGGAGCCTGAGCGAGCACCGAGCAGCCTGCTCGCCTGTGATAATTCAGCCAGATTATCTCAGGAACCGTCTGGCTGATTAGTTTCCAGTCCTGCCAGCGAAGCCTCCTTCCTGTGACTCCCAGGGTCACCCTTCTCCAGGCTGTAGCCCTGAGTAGCAGTAGGGACTTAAACAGCACAATGGGACCCCTTCACATCCTGTACCCCATCACCAGCTGTCTGGAGTAAAACAAGAAAAAGTCACAGGCATGCAAATAGAGGACAGGTGTATGTACACAAGAACACAGGGCGGAGAGGAGAGGGCATGGACTTACTCGAATTTCCCCAGGAGACTCTGGGCCAGTTAAGGGGGAGCCAAGAGCCAAGAGTGGGACAAAGGTGGTGTCATTTCCCTAGAGTATCTTAGGGACCTGACCATAGACAGGGAGGGGGTGAAGAGGGGCCATTCTCAGTGATGTGAGCTACATTCCAAGATGCCACAAGCAAACTGTGCTCCTCAATACCACGCCCCCCACCCCCCACATGGAAAAGCATTATGTCAGCATCACGTATGACTCTGAGAGTCATCTGTCCCCTCTTCTATAGGAGACAGTGGCAGGAACACATCAGAATGGAAAGAAGACAGAAAGCATCGTGGTCCAACCTCGAGGCTCTATTCTGGACCCTCCTGATAATAATGGCTATGTTTATCTAAAACTCTGACTTCTTCAGGAGTCTCTCAAGTGCTTTGCTTTACCCCGTGTTCATATTTCAGTCCCAGCGTCCACTCTATGATGGCCTCCATACGTTCTTTTACAAATGCAGAGGTGACAGCCTACATACAGGTCCCACAGTGCAAAGCAGGCAGCCTGCTCCATGTCCCTGTTGAGAATACTTCACAGCTCAGCTGCTCTCTCCCTCTTCTTTCCCTCCACAATCTCCTTCCTTCACAGTGCCCTCTTCCTGCTTCCAGAGCTGCTTCTCCATGCCATTTCCATCCCTAAATTGTTAGTATTCAGGCATCTGCACTGGCCTGTCCTTGGGTTCTGACAGCTGCAGCCACTAAGAGCACCACCTGGATATGTTCCCTTTAAAAAGAGCCTTGCCCACCTCCCATCCTTCCCCCTCCCCTCCTCAGTATCTCTGCCTCTCTTTGCTCTCTCCTGCTGCTCCTGTCCCTGGAGGCCGGTCTCCCTGCCTCCTCTTTCCCCCTTTTCATCCCTTTCCCTAATTAAAAAAAAAAAAAAAAATCCCAGCCAGGCGTTAATGGTGCACGCCTTTAATCCCAGCACTCGGGAGGCAGAGGCAGGCGGATCTCTGTGAGTTTGAGGCCAGCTTGGTCTACTGAGTGAGGACCAGGATGGGCTCCAAAGCCACAGAGAAACCCTGTCTCGAAAAAAAAAAAATCCCTCCACTTGAATTCTGTCACATGGCATCTTTCTCGTACTGCTGGTACCTCTAAGGTCCATAGGAGATTTGCCGTGCTTCTCCACCACGTCATCTACCCTGGCAGCAGGAGCCCAGTTCAAGGGGCCACCTCTGTGCCATTCACAGAAGCAACCTGATTGGAAGATGTGAGAGCTGGGTGTCCCTAAGCATGTGTTTATTGTTCCCGGACACCAGGATGTTTCTGGAGAGGCGTCTCCACCCTGTCCCATCTGACCCAGGAGAAGCTGTGACTCCACTGCTTCCTGACTTAGGTGGCCTTGGCCCCAGACACTGGGCTAGGAGCATTTGCAGAAGAACCCTGTGTTTTGCTCCTCACAACCACCCTCAGACCTCAGACTTAGGCCATAGCTGTCATCTCAGACTTCAGGCACAGTCCACCACCAGCCTTGGTTAAGATAAGAGCTTGGCCTTTATTGTGGGCCCAGGAAGGTATAAGGGCAGGATGTATAAGGGACGGAGTGACTCTCTAGCTAGTCAGGCCATGGCACAGGCAGCAGTGGGGTCCACGGCAGCTGCACAGCCCTCACTTGCTGCACTTCTGGGGAGAGCACCTGCACTGCATGGCATTGATGACCTCGTGGTATACGACAGAGCCATTGGTGCAGTGCAAGGGCACACGCATGGGCTCCGTCCTCGAGGGCCCGCAGCAGGAGCAATGTTGCTGCACGTCCTCAATGTCAATGGAGTACACGGCTTTGCTGGCACACTTGCCCTGTAACACAGCAGAGGGGAGGCATCGCAATTCTAAATGGAGCAGCAAGACTGGGGCAGCCTGTATTAATCCTCCCCCTGTCTTTCTAAGCAATACAGGCCATGCCCCACCCACAGGCACACAGGAGAGCTAGGCAACTTGTAAAAGTAGATCTTAGGAAACAGTGAGCTTCCTCTTTCCAACTATTACACACACCCTCATCCCTCTGGCTGTGGTTTCTACACACACTGACTGATCCTGAGTCCCCGTCTTCTACAAATGTCTTCCATCAATGACTTCCTGGTCTCTTTACAGGTTTGTTTTGGTCTTTCTTCTGGGTCAAACAATCCTACTCCCTAAATGAAACATTTACTTTAAAAACAATGTTTACAGTTCCTTGTATCTCTCTTCCTTGTGACTTTTCCAGATCCTTCTAGATGATAACTAAGGAAACTGTAGCCTTCCCCACCTAAGTCTTCTCGAAGTCACACAGCCTTACCTGGCAGTAATGAATGTCCACTTCCTCTTGGGACTTACAGTCTCCCACTTTGACATACTGCAGCTTGGCAACGATGTCTTTGCAATCAGGCTCCTCACCTATAGAACAGGTGAGAGGTGGAACAGGGGGGCTGGCTAGCTGGGGTGCTGTAGAACACTTTCCCTATGCAATGCCTTCACTAAGTTGGAAATTCTTCTTTCTATCAATGACTTAACCAAAGCCAGCTGGGAGAGGAAGAATTTAGTTTCTCAAGCTCACCTCAGCTGCTCCCGGCTCCTCCAATTCAGAGATATCATTACTACTGGATAACTCACTTAATGATACAATTTTAATTGCAGAAGGAGTCTGGGTTGGCTGTGTTTTGGTCATATAGATGGATGATGCTTGCTTTTATATAATTTGAAATTCAGAAAAACATCATGGCCAGAGCAATCTTGTCAAGCTGTAAACTATACCCAGAAGCTAACAGACCACGAAGTAGCCACTAAATAGAATTAATATCAGTCCATCCCAATCTTTTGCTAAAAAGACAAATGTCATGGCCACATACATACTCTGAGGAGACTCCTAAGATCCTTTAGGCCACCATCTTACTGAGAGTTGTTACTTCCATGTCACCAGGATGAGTTTCCTTATATACATGGGCTTCACACCTGAAGCTCTGCATGACTCACTGGGACATCTAAGCTCTACTACCGGCTCACTGCTCTTATCGGAGTCATGACAGTTTTCCATTCTGCATGGTTCCAAATCTAGGCCAGCCCTATAGACACATTAGCCAGCCTCCCAATTCAGACTAATTTCACGTTTGAGGGTAAGTCTTCCAACTGCACAAGAGTATGAATTTGGAGCCAATGTGCAATATTCTCTTGTTGCAGACTGAAACCCTTAAGCCCAGCTTATTTTCCTTCCAGGAGGACTTACAGCCTCCTGAACATGTTGGCTAATGAAGGCTCCCCGTTGCTGGTTTTGTAGACAGCGGCCTCTTAACCAAACTCCAAGAATAACATCTGGAGAGAGTGCATCTTCTCTGATGACTTCCTGAATTCACATTCTTAAACCATTCAGAGGGAAATTTGCAAAGAAACACTCTCAGAGGGTGTTTCCTCCTTCTGCAGTTTGGTGATGGCAATCACTGGGACTGTCATAGCAAGCCACCAAGAAAAGAAGAAATAATTGAGGGAATTCACACCTTCACTCTTCTCTAACTTCGACCAAGAATGAGCCCATGACTCTAAAATGAAGCTAAACAAACTAAAATGAGAACTATTAGTCTAAGAAAAAAAGCGTGACTTGTGGTGCTCCCTCATAATAGCTATATGAACAATCAAAGGTTCTGAGGTACACACGAGGCTGGAGATGGAGCTGAAAGAAGACTGGAAGTAATTGCTTCATGGGCAATTCATAGGCCATTTGAGCAGGATATGGGCCAATGATAATCAGAAAGGAGAGGTAGCTGGCTAGGAGATGAACATAATGACTAACTGATAACTAAGAACTATTGTTTCTGGAATAAAGTCTACTTCAAATAATGGTGCCTGCCCTGGGTGTAACAGACATCAAAGCACAGGCTATTAGTAGTGTACTCACAAGTGTCACAACAGGTGCCCGGAATTTTCACGATTTTCCCCTAAGAAAAAAGAAAAGTACAAGATCAGGCACAAGTAATTCAACAAGGATGGGTTCTCAGGTCACGTGACGACTTCCTGGCTCTGAACTGAGAGCTCTGAGCTGAAATCCCCAAATATAAATTGCTTTCCCATCACAACTGTGAGCCAACTGAACATTTCACCTGACCAGAGTGGTTGGAATCGTCAATTCCCAGGAAAACATAGGGTCAATGTAAGTATGCAGCTCTGAGGGGAAAGGATTCCAATATACAAGTGTTGCAGTTCTCAGAGGAAATGTTTCCCCAGTGGAAGTGTTGTGGCTTTGAAGGGAAAGGTATCCTGGCAGTTGGGAGCCAAGGAATGCCACAAAGTCACACTACACAACAAACCTCACTCAAGAGATTTATTGGGAGAGACACAGGAGGGTGGCTGCCTCTGCTCAGGTGAGAAGCAGCAGGGAACTGAGCAGGAGGCAGGCTTTATATAGGGTTTCTTGGAGGTAGAGCTTTCCAGAGTGGAGATTTGCAGGGTAGGGACTTGTGGGACTTCAAGTAAATCCCAGGGATTGGTGGGTTTTCAAGCTCAGAGATTAGTAGCTTTTGGTGAATTTTCAGACCCAGAAGTAGGCTCTGACCTTTTACCCTACAGTCAATGTCCTGCCTTCTTATTCAAAGATCATGGCTTCCCTCCAGTGACCAACTATTTTCAAAGCATCCTTTGCCTCAGAGCATTATTTCTTCATCACCATTTCATTGATTCCTCAACCAGTACAGAGATCTGTCTTGGACACTGTGAGATTGCATAAGAACTGAGCTGAATGTTGCACAGAACTCCACCCTTGGCATCAACCAGTGAGATCATTAAGACAAAGGTAAAATCCGAACTGCAACTACTCACTCCTTCAGCCAGACACCTGCGTTCATCGAAGGGTGGGCAGCCTGTGACCCTTTTCTCCCAGATGTACTCCCCTCTCTCGTTGACCTTGCAGAAATGACTGTCACAACCATCCTGGAGTGTCTCATCTCGCTGAAAAGAAAGATGAGAGTCAGTAGAACACATGCAACGATAGTGTTCAGGTTACAAAGCTACTGTCAGCCACTGGCCTGACCTCCTTTGAATTACTAAAACAATGTGGAGAAGTAGAGAAAAAGGGTGAGATGATATATAAAAACCCCACCTCTAGTACGGACTAGAGGTGGTGTCTCAGCTCTGTAATTTATTTACCATGAAGAGAACTGCCATATTACAGAAAGTCCTCAGACTATTCTGACCATGTATTGATAAGCTGGAGACAGTGAACTAATTGGCAGCCAGATGAGATATGAACCAAGATATGAACCATCTCTCAGACCCACCAGCTAGTTCCAGAAGTCACCAGTGGGTCTGCTCACGCTGATTGCCTGTCCAGTCCCACAGAGTCTCAAGGTTACAGACAATCTTTTTCAAACAAAAATCATCAATCCAGTCCAAATGAGGTCATACACCAACTATACATTTATTGGGAAGAGCAAAAGCATAGCAAAATCAAAGAGCAAATCCTGTGCCTTTCACAAGTCATCTACACTTCCTTTAGAAAACAAAGTGAGAAAAGAAGCCAACAATGAACCTGAACTCATCCTTCTGCTTGAAGAAAAGACACCCCTCCCAGAGAGAAACCAGAGAGTGGAGTGAGAGGGGACTCCTGAGCTCAGCTCCTTCCCACCTTCAGTGTCATGATCTGTCCTCCTCTGAGCTGAATAGTGCAAGCTGTAGGCAAACATCTGCCACAGCATTCACCTTCGTTCTTCTCTTCACGATAACCCTGTATCCAGGAAAGGAAGCAGTCATAGTTAACCGTCCAGAGCACCACAGTTATAACTCGAGTTACCTGGCTGACTTCTTGCCTCCACAATCCCATAGTTACTCCCAGAGTTCGGCTGACATCCAGAGTAACACCCAGAGTTCAGCTGACATCCCATAGTTACCCCAGAGTTCAGCTGACGTCCCATAGTCACCCCCAGAGTTCAGCAGACATCCCATAGTTACCCCCGGAGTTCAGCTGACATCCCACTGTAACACACAGAGTTTGGCTAACATCCACAGTTACTCCCAGAGTTCACCCAACATCCCATAGTTACCCCCCAGAGTTCAGCTGACATCTCATAGTTACTCCCAGAGTTAATCCCACATCCTACTCTAACTAGATTTTTCCAGGTCTCGCTCCCTCTTACATTTCTTCCCTCCATATATGTGCATCTCACCCTAGTTGCAGCAATCTAACTTGTAAGGAGAAAAGTCACAGCCATTGCTACAGCTGGAATGTGTCTGTCCCTCTGTATTTTATAGGCTGGAACTTAAACCTCAAAGTGATGGCGGTGAGCTGTCGTGCCTTTGGGGAAATGACTGAGTATGCAGGGATCTGCCCTGGTGGATGAATCAGCCCCTGATAGCAGAGACTGCTCAGAATGCCTTCTGCCTGTGCGATGGAATAACATCACAAGAAAGTATCACCTATGAGGAACAGGCCAGACAGCTAGTCAGCTGCGAGTCCATAATTTCAGACTTCCCAGCCTCTAGAATTGTGAGAAAATAATTTTTCTTTAAAAATTACCAGTTCTCAAAAAAGAAGAAGAAGAAGAGGAAGAAGAAGAAGAAGAAGAAGAAGAAGAAGAAGAAGAAGAAGAAGAAGAAGAAGAAGAAGAAGAAGAAGAAGAAGAAGCAGCAGCAGCAGCAGCCGGGCATTGGTGGCACATGCCTTTAATCCCAGCACTCAGGAGGCAGAGGAGGGCAGATCTCTGTGAGTTCGAGACCAGCCTGGTCTACAAGAGCTAGTTCCAGGACAGCCTCCAAAACCACAGAGAAACCCTGTCTCGAAAAACCAAAAAAATAAAAAATAAAAATAAAAATTTAAAAATTACCTATTCTCACTGCGTATGGTGGTAAATGTGTATAATCCCAGCACTTGAGGAAGACTGAGAGTTCAAGGCCAGCCTTGCAAGACCCTATCCTTAAGAAAAGCATTACCTAGTCTCAGTTATTTTCTTATAGTGGCACAAGCAGACTGAGATAAAACCGAAACAAATGGAGAGGTATACTAGGTTCATGGATGAAAACACTCAGCAGGATCAAGACATCCATTCTCTTAAGGCTGAACTATATTCTATGCAATTCAGTATACTTTTAAATTCTTTTCATAAAAAGGAGAACTTTGACACTAAATTCTTATGGAAATAAAATGACATAAGATAACCTAACCTTGCAACAGAACACATCTGAAAGACTTAACTATCTGACTCAAGACTTTACTGCAAAGCTTCAGTAATCAAGACAAGAATGTGAGCACAGGATTTATTCATCAATCAACCGATTAGAAAAACAACCCAGCAATAGGTCTACATATCCACAGGCGATTTATCAAGGTTTCCGCTGGAACCACTGGATAACCACATTGTGGGGGTGTGGCTTAAATACTATGGTGGGGGTGGTAGTGTGTGTATGTGGGAGCGCCTTGGGGAAGTGCATGTGTGTGCGCATGTATACATGTGCAAAACTAAGTCACCATTGGTCATAGATATAAACACAAAACTCAAACTATCAAGCTTTAAGAATAAAAAAGCATATTTTCATGGCCCTGAAATATGGCGTTCTTAAACAAAAACTTAAAACCACTAAGTATAAAATGGCATAGTGTTATGTCATAGTTTATCAAAATTTAAACTTCTAATCTTTAGAAAATATAAGCTGAGAGCCAATGAGTGAGACAAATGTAATAAATATAAAAAAAAAGTTAAAAAGAATAATTCCAAGTGTGGCTGGCGCACACCTGTGGTCTCAGCAGGTGAGAGGCTGGCACAGGAAGGATATGGACCAACCTCAGCTACATGGTGAGATCTTGTTTCAAAGACAAAATAATAGGCAACCAAATATAGGGAGGAGCCCAGACAACTGTGTAATAAGAGCACAAACAACCCAACTTAGAAATACTGAAAGGGTAAGGCTCGGGGAGCTGTCTCAGCAGCCAGCTGCAATTGTTCTTGCATGGGCTCCAGGTTCAGTTCTCAGCATCCACATGGTAGCTTACAACCATTTATAGCTCCAGTGACAGGGCATCTGGCATCCTCTTCGGCCCTCAGTGGGTACCAGGCATACTCACAGAACACATACACACAGGCAGGTTAAACACTCAAACACATAAAATAACATTGTTTTAAAAATCTCAATAAAAATAGTAAAAACTTTAAGCCAACACCTCACAAAAGAAATGGGCATTGCATCGCCTTAGACCCTTCATCAACTGAGAAACACACATTTAATATACTCTAAGATCTCAACCCACAACAGGAAAAAAAAAATGAAAATGCTTAGCAAAGCCAAGCATTGGTAAGAAAGTGCCTGGAACCCTGGCACACTGGAAACTTTCCCTGGTCTTCAAGTCAGTCCCAAGGATATACCCTGATCCCTAGGTGCCCAGGAGCTGGTTCCTGCATTAACTCGGAGCTTGATGGTGACTCGGGATAAAAGCCCTTCCTTCATAACTGCACTGGGAAGCACAGTGGCTTGCAGACAGCAGGACTTTGCTGTTTTTGCAAAACGCCTTCGTGTTCGGAAGACACCATAGGGTTACCAATGTCTTAATTTGCAGGATAAACAAATTTTTAAACAATTTTAAAAAAATAAAAATGCTACTATCAACTGTCTCGTGAGTTCATAAAAGTAAAGCTACTATTCTCCTTTTTCAAAACCATAAATAAAGAAGGAGCTCTCAAAATAAAATAAAATGTAGCTGGGGTTAGTCAGAACTGAGAAGACCCCCTCAGGCAATGATGAGCAAGCACAAAGACCAGAGTCCAACCCCTAGCATCCACATAAAAAGTCGGTGGTGGTGATGCATGCTTGTAATCTCAGTACCGGAAAGGGAGGCAGGCAATTCCCTGGACTCACTGGCCATACCACCCAGCCCAACTGGCAAGGTCACCACGTCTCAAAAACAAGATGGACAGCTAATCTCTGGATTTTACATGTAAGCACATACACACAGAGAGGGGAGAGGAGGCACACAGAAATAAATAAATAAATAAATAAATAAATAAATAAATAAAGGTCTAGTTCTTTGGGATACCAACTCTTTGTCATTCTTGTTTTCATTTGGTCACTTTTATGGATCACCACTCTGGAGCTATTTACTAGGGTCTGGAAGACCTGTGACAAAAATCTATAGCACTCTAACCATAGTGCCTAATGCCTGTAATCCTAGCACTCAGGAGGCTGAAGCAGGAAAAATATCCTTAAGTTTTAGGTCTGCCTGGGCTACAGCTTAAGATCCCATCTTGAAATACAGGGGGAAACCAAACAAAACAAAACTCTAACCAATCCATCTTAACACCCAGACGAAGTCTCTGCCAACATGAAGGACAGGCATCTGTAAGCTTGCAAGCCCAGAAGTGAATTTAATCAATTTGCTCCTTGTAAATCAACCTATGAACTCGATGTGCCTTCCGGGGGTTGAACATGAGGATGAAGCTCAACACAGAGGCAGGGAGCCTGGGCCAGGGGCCAAAAGCACCACTTAGAAATGATGCTGTTGGAAATAGAGAACCACAAGGTAGCGTTTCAATCATGAGGCTGAAACTGCTATAAAATGCACACTTTCTAGCAAGGAAATGAGAGAGGAAGGAAAGAGAAGGAATAAGCACTGAGTGACTGTGAGTGATTGATTCTGAGTCAAATGAAGAAATAAAACAGCTTCAATCAGGCTGGTTTATGGGAGCTTGTACTTGGGCATTTTTAGTGAATGTTACAAGATCATAGGACATGGTGTCCTGAGCAGAAAAAGGGAACAAAGTTTCTCTCTACCCAAGAAGCAAGGAGACGGCTGCAAGTAGAGAAGGGACTGTGGGAGGAAGGGTCAGAGAGTGACTGGAAGGGCAGTGAGTGGCATCCATACACCAGGCAGGCAGAGTCCATCCAGGACCAGAAAAAGCAGAGAGGGCTAGAAGAGGCAAAGGAACAGAAAGGAAAGACAAGGGGATGGAGAATAAAGAAGCTGTATTTTTCAGGGATGGTGTGGGCTTGGAGACCAGAAGGCATATGCATTAGCACCAGGTGAGTGAAAGGAAACCGGTCCCTCCCAACACCCCCCCGACCCTCACCATGTCTGCTGCCCTGTGAAGCAGATTGCAGCCATGACTAGACCCAAAACAATGAGGGGGCAGGAAGTGCGCCTGCCTGAGCACAGCTGGACACCCAGGTAGGAACTGGCAGCAGGCATATATGTCATAGGTGCCACCAGGTGCCACTCCCCTGGACGTCTCATGAAACATTGAATTAATTGTGGAAAGTCATCTGTGTGTGTGTGTGTCTCTCTCTCTCTCTGTCCGTCTGTCTCTCTCTCACACACACACACACACACACACACACACACACACACGGGCCTCTCTCTGCCTGTTACTGGATTGTCCAGTCACTTCAATTTGCGACCAACTCTTCCTCAACCAATGGGTCAAGTTCCCAGCCAGCCACTGACATCCCTGCTACAGCCAGGGAGTCCTGGTTTACAGCCATTTTAGTTCTGCTTCCTCTGTTCCCTGTTGTCCCAAAGCTCCGCCTTGCAAAGCGCACGCCTGGCAACCCCTTCAGCTGTTTCACCCTGCTCATGGCCTTCAGTCCTTGCCTACTTCTCTTCCTTGACCTCTATTTCTACCTGCTGGCTATTCACCATCCTCCATCCTGGACATTCATATTCAACATTCAGCTCATTGTGGAAATCCAGCTGAGTAGCCCATGACAGAGTGGCCTCTCTTCTTCATGCTTTCCTTACGCTCATCTTTCAAACTCCATCTCTACCACTCATCAGCACAAAGCACCTTGCTCTGGTCTCTGCGGGAGGTGATGCTAACACCACTGTATATCTGGTGGAGGCATCAAACAGGTCTACCTAGATGTCGCTCACTGCAGTTGCCCCACCCCCAGAGCCTTACTGAGGGCTTGATACTCCTTCAAGGAGTATCAAGGCCAGTTAAGGATGCTGACCTACAATAGGACCAGCTGAGGCAATTCTCAGCAAAGCTTGAAAAAAAAACATAGAAGTCGGGCTAATCTGGTGATTCTGAAGTGGTGCACACTGCTCTAGCAAGATACCAAAATGTTGGAGAAAAAAAGGAATCATATAGAACAATATGGGCATTGTTTTAAAATATATACAGCACCTGCGGAGTCAGTGGGAGCAACTGTACCACACCTTCTGAACACCAGAGGGCGCTGCTAGGGGGCGGTTAGTAGACCTCCCTCACCCACCCAGGCTACACAGCCCCACCCTAGCCCCAGATCAGCTTCCAAATGATGTGGGTGTGAATCTCTGAGTCTGTTTCCTCACTGCCTGGGATGCAGGTCAGTAGACAACGAAGGTGGAAGGTGGCATGTAGTTCCAGACGGTGTTACTCGACTCCATGATGAAGACCTCAGCTGTTGTAGGCAGAGTTGTTTTACATTCACACACTAAACCCCAAATCCTAAAACATCAACTGCAACTTTGCAAAATATCAAGAATCTGTATTTAATTGGTTTCTTTTGCATCCAAGCATATATATTGTCTTTGAATTGAATGGCACTATCACAAAGCTGTCTCCCATAGGGCCATCAATGCCACTGGCTTTTCATGAAGCCCTGCTTTGAGCTTGACACTGTATAAGTGTTATGGAAAACACAGATGTAGGTCACGTGTCCTTTATTCTGATAAAAACAGGAAGCACACCCATGACCTCTCAGCTCCCACTCTGTTCCTCATCCTATCCCTGTCCTTTCCAGGTGCCACTTTTCCTGTGCTCTGCCCTACTCACAAGGGCCCATCCATACTGCTTGCCACCAAGCCTGTGGCTTTGTAGAGCTGACAAGGAGAAACCCCCACCTGGTGTCACCTGAGTCACTGAAATTCCTGCCTCCAGCTCACAGGAAGTTCATCTACCAATGTATTGTCTAAAACAACTGAAGCCCAAACACAAAGAGGAGCTAGAGGGAGAAACCCAGGCGCCTTCAGACATTTAGGTCCCCTCAGCCTGTGTGAGGCCTGTAATATCCCAGTTCCATAGGACTAGAAGCCATAATTAAAATAATATCACACCCCTTAAATAGATATAATCTATGTCTATTGAAATTATGCTAAAATTAATAGCAAACTAAGCTAAAATGTACTTTTAAATTATTGCACATTGATTACTTCCACCTATCAAACTAAAGATTATCTACTTGTCAAAATGTTCCTTAAGAATGTCTCCGGAACAAGTGAGAATCACAACTTAACAAAAAAAAGAATAAACGTGTGTGTGTGTGTGTGTGTGTGTGTGTGTGTGTGTGTGTGTATGTATGTATGTGTGTGTGTGTGTGTCCACATGTACATATACAAGCATTCACCTTCCACAGACTCCTTGGGGAGGTCAGAGGACAGCTTCGGGTTGTCCACACTATTGGAGACAGGGTCTCTTCATTGCTCACCACCCTGTATGCCAGAGCGCACAAGCTTCCAGGAACTTCCCTGCTCCACCTCCTGTCTCTCCATAGGAGCAGTGAGATTACAGACAAGATGCTATACTCAATTTTATTTGAGTTCCTGGGATTTAAACTCAAATCTTCATGTTTGCACTGAAAGTGCTTCTCCCACTGAACCATCTCCCCGGCCTCAGGATGAACTATTTAAATGACTGAAATGTCTGCTAATGAAAAGTAGATTTAAGGCCGGGCGTTGGTGGTGCACGCCTTTAATCCCAGCACTCAGGAGGCAGAGGCAGGCGGATCTCTGTGAGTTCGAGGCCAGCCTGGTCTCCAGAGCGAGTGCCAGGATAGGCTCCAAAGCTACACAGAGAAACCCTGTCTTGAAAAACCAAAAAGAAAAACAAAAAGAAAAAAAAAGAAAAAAGAAAAGTAGATTTATACACTAGGGAGCATCCATTTAGATGAAGGCTGTGTAGGGCCTTGCGCGTTACAAGGGTCTCACAAGTATTTCTTGACTAATTTTTAATGTTTTCAGAGTATGGTGGTAATTTCTTAAAATATGTTTTTAAAGATACAGAGCTGTGAGTATAGCATCAAATGCCTTGAAAATACTGTGCTTATTTTTTTAAAACACAAGAATAAAATGGTTACAATTTATTAGTAAATTGTAATTATTTCTGAGGGATGCGGTTTGGATAGGTGTCCTGACAGCTGTCAGATATCAGCCATAATCAGAACAAAGGCAAGATTTAAGGAACCCAGTGAGGTACTGTTGGTCCTACAGAAACTGAGGCATCCCTTAGTCCCTCAGAGCCTCTCTTACCATGGGGCAGGCTGCACAGGTAGTCTTCCTGCACTCCAGCTTGAATCTGGAGGTGGCTCCTGTCTGCACAATGCAGCGGCAGGTCGTGCATAAGTCAACCATCACACTTTTTCCCGGCTGGAAACAGAACCTGAGTCAGGTTTCTAAACAAGCCAGATACTCCATCTGCCTCACCCGCTCACCTGCCTGCTTGCCTGAGATGTAGCCCCTGCTTCTTGTGGCCGTTCCATCCTGCCTCCCCACATTAAGTATGGACATGGTAAAAAACAGAGGTAGCCAGACAGTGGGAGAGGCATTAGATGACATGTGCTCTGGGACTGTGGGTGTGTTTTTACATGTGTAAAAGACATATGCAAAAGACATGCCCACGTGCTTGGAGGGCCAGTCGGAAGATGAGCATGGGAAAGCCAGCCCATGCCCCAGAAAGTGAGAAGGATAGCCCCGGTGTGGATATGAGGCTGAGATCCCTGAAGAGTTCTCCAAATTGCTCTCACTTTCGTCTTAGTCTGATCTACACACACGCCCCTATCCCATCCCTCCCCACCACCAGCTCCAACTCACACCAATGATGGTGCCATTGAGCAGACAGGCCTCCATGGGCTCTGGGGAGAGAAGCAACATTTGAGTATTGACACACCCTCCCCAAACCTCCCTGACCAGTCTTCTCCATGTCCTCCTGGTCTCCCTATTCTGACTCCTGACAGTTCTCCACATCCCCTCACCCCACCCTCCAGAGTGTTGTGGGTCTTCCTGCTTGGGCCCCAGGTACCTCTCTTTCCCTTTCAACCATTAGATCAGAACTGCCTCACTACCCATCCTAATGGAAGAGCCCCTAAGGCACTAGTTAGCTGGGATCATGTTTAGGAAATGGATGGGTCAATTGCCTTTTGGGCTTGAGAGAAAAAAACAAAACAAAACAAAACAAAACAAAAACAGAGCTTATGGTTTGTTATTGCTGTTTGTTTGTCTGTCTGTCTGTCTGTCTGTCTGTCTATCTGTCTCTCTGCCAGCAGGGTTGAGGGATAGCAATGCCTTCCCCTAGGTGAAGCAATGCTGTACTATAGAAAATGTGGTCTCCAGAGTCAGAGAAACCTGACCCAAAATGAGTCAGTACCATGAGGGAGGGTTACCCATGACAATGGGAAAAACTCTATCACTGGGCTCAGAGCTAGGCACAGTGGCCTGCAGAGAACTACCCTTGTCTCCTCTCCTCTGCTCTCACAGCCACAGTAGTAAACAGATTTTGATTGTGCCCATTTCTCTGAGTTGCTAAGAAGCAAAGAACTCAGAAGTCCAAGGAAGAAAGAGCCCTGAAAGCAAATCCAGGCCAGGCCAGGCCAGGCCTCGCCATCCCGACTCACCACAGCGACAGCTGGGACAGCACTCCGAGGTCTCACAGCTCAGCTGGAAACCTGTGGGGCAGGTAGGGACAGCCAGCTGGGGGCAGGAGATGTTCCTCTGCTGCACAAAGACCGCCTCCTCCACTCGGACACACTCGTTGATGAGGCAGGGATTCTCAGGGGCAGCCCACCGAGAGCCAACCTGCAGAGTACCAGAGGCCATCAGAGGTGCCAGGCAAGGCTGGGGCCCAATGTCTTGTAGCAGTATCCTGTTCTCGGGGAATTCTTTGGACTCTGAAGGTAAGCCCTCATTCAAACCAAAATTGAAACCACGGGATAACATCCACAGAGGGAATGGCAGAGGTCATCACAATAAGTCTGGGTCTAAGTTACCCTGACCAGATCCTAGGTCAAATTCACATGTCCCTGCCCCTGAGGCTCTCTGGGATTAGCACTACCAACTCCATCCTTTCTAGCTTCTTAGTCTGACATCAGAGTAAGAAACAATTCCCTGTTGTTAGTAAAATGGCTTGAACATGGTTGTTGTAAGAAGAGGCGAAACATTTCACCCTGCAGGGACGCGCCTTAAACTCTGGAGGTAAACAACTCAAAAGTCTTCAGGAAGTTCCTGAAACTAACCAGAATCACTAAGCCTCTCCCTTTCCAAACTTACATAGGCTGTAGACTGCTCAGAGACACTCACAGATAAGCTGAGCTTCCTAAAAGAAGCTAAGACTGGCTGAGCTGCCTGTAAGAGGAGGGGCCAGTCAAGCTGCATGGAAGAAGCTCAGATCAACTGTACTACTCAGAAAGGATACTCGACAACCTGCTGAGCTGCCTGCGGGCTGTGCAGTGAACTCCAGGTTTCCAGCTTTTGTGAGCTGTCACCCATGCTGGGGTGAGCTTTGCTGATGCAACTGCCTTTGAGCCATTTCTGCTCCTGTAAGTAACCCCTCACCTATATTCCTGTAAGTAACCCCAATAAAATTCACTGGTTTGCCAAGCTAAAACCTGGTATCCATAGTTTGATCTGTCATTGGTTTCCATTCTTGGGTGAATAGATGATGGTTCAAATCTCTCCAAAAATAGGGTCACACAAGAGAGCCCATGAACTCCATACCCCCTGAGGGGCTATTGGCAATTAACAACTGTTGGGGGCTGAATGTCCTTCTCTCCAATGGTGTAGCTACTGGTGTTGTCATAAATAACATCCCATCATTAGAAACCCTAATTGAATTCAGTGGGCCATACACAAAAAGGAGGCATGAAAATAGGAGGGAATCATATTAAGAAGAAGAGTTCCAGTGGAAGAGGAAAGGAGAAAGTTGGGTACAGGACATGAAAGTGACTAAAGTTTATTATGCAAACGTATGAAACTGTCAAAGAATAATAAAAAAGTAATTTAAGAAAAAATGGCTTGATAAGCCATCAAAAGTGAACCTCCAGGGATCACAGAAGACAGCTAACCAAACTACTGTGAACTACAGGAAGAAATTCTGCAGGCAAAGGAGACAGGAAAGAACAAGAGATAGGGGCCAGCAATGTAGCAAAATGATAACTCTAGGCCTGCAGAAACAGCTGAGGAACTTTGCCAACAGCCTGCTTGCTGCTTTGGATTGTCAGTTTCTCCACCTTCTCAAGCCATTGCGGGAGTTTCTATGGACATTAATACAAAAGCCCAAGGCCAGGGCCAACACAGTATAGAACAGAGCTTGTAACCTGTGTAGCCTGATGGACCACCAAGTATTCAAGATGATGAGGCCATGCCCCTCAACCAACCACTGAGGGACCTCAGAGTCACTGTGAACGGGAGACCATAAGACCCTGGGAGTTTATAGATCTCTCAGGGAGGCCACTAGGCTTCTCCTCGAATCCACAAAATGGGAAGCCTGAGACAGCCTTAACTAGTTCCTAAGGGGTAAAGGAAACCCAGCTGGGATCCCAACAGTTCCAATAGCTGGATACGCTCCCTATAGGGAAAGCAAAGACAAGGGGGAGGAAAACCAGGCCAGCACTGATGAACTGATGGATGGCACAATGAACTCTCCTCTCCCCACTCCCCAGGGCCCAGACCTACATTCTTCCAGGAAGAAAAGGAATCTCCCCGAGGAGAGCCAACCATGACCTTGCAAGCAGAGGGCAGGCACCTTCCACAGCACTCGCCTTCACGGAAAACGTAAGAGAAGCCCTGAAAAACAAAAACATAAAGTATAGCCAAGCCAGCACCTGAGAATCAGGGATTCTGACCTGAGTGTCATGTTTACTGAGCCCTGGGGCTAACCAAGACACATGGCTGAATATTTTCATTCCTGCTGTCCACTAGCCTCAGGAGCACACCAAGAAGTGATCAAGAAACTCCAGCCACTAAGCTAGGTCTTTGCAGGCTGAAGACATAAACACCTCCTCCCAGAAGACTCCATGTTGAGACCAACATCCAATCCACATGAATATTAAAGACAGTTCAGAGTTCCCTTAGAAACTCCTGATGAATCTGACCTCAGCCATGGCCAAACCTAGGGCAGCTTGTTGACTGCAACGCATTCTCAGGAAGCCAGGGTCTAGCCTTTGTTTTGCAGAGTGATGACCTGCACAAATAAGTATCTTGATCCTAGCACTTCTCACCATGTGAAATGCTTTGGCTCTTAGATGTTCCCTAAATCACCATATGTTGTTCCCTAGCCTGTGGCATTACCGTGAGATGGTAGAAAATTCTGGAGATGGAGCCTAATGGAAGCAAATTCAATCATGGACAGTGTGCCCTGGAAAGACAATTTTGGACCCCTGCACCCTCCCTCCATCTCTCCCCTTTCCTGACCACCATCAGATGAGTGTCTTTGCTCTACAATACATCCCCCACTGTGACATTCTGCCTCACTCCAGCCTGAAATTGAAACCATGAGCCAAAATTAACCTTTCCTCTAAGTTGACTTTCTCAAGTACTTTGTCACAGTGATGCAAAGCTGACGAGCACACTAATTTGCAGAGGTAAGTATCCTTGACATTTACATAGTAGTTTAAATATTATAGTATCTATTACAAAAAAAAAAAATGAGGTAAGCAAATGACAGAGACTGACCTTCCCCAGAGAACCTCACAGGGAAGGCCAGCTTTCTGGGAGTTTGTCAGTCCATCTTGCCTCTGGAAGATCCTTTAATATGGCCAAAGTATTAAGAACTTAGATTAAGGGGCTGGAGAGAAGGCTCAGCAGTTAGGAGCACATGCTGTTTTTCCAGAGGACCTGGGTTCAATTCCCAGCACCCATGTGGCAGCTCACAGCTGTCTGTAACTCCAAGATCTGACACCCTCATACAAACATACATGCAGACAAAACACCAATGCACGTAAAAGTTTTAAAAAGAACTTAGGTTAAGGGTTTGGAGGGATGGCTCAGTGGTTAAAAGGACCTAAGTTTGGTTCTCAGCACCCATATTGTGGCTCAAAATCATGTGTAACTTTGGTTATAGGGGATCTAGTACCCTCTTCTGGCCTTGTAGCTACCAGGCTTGAACGTGGTATACATACGTAGATCATACACATAAAATAAAAACTAAAAAATTCTTTAAAAAAAAACTTAAATTAAAACCCTCCTCTAAATATCATGTGCCAAGTGCCAAAAATGACAATGACAATGTGGCTGAGTCTGGAGCTAAGGGCAAAGAACCCAGGACAAGGCTTTACCTGAGGCTATGTCCTTAAAAAGGAAGGAACAGCTGGCTGATCAGATAGCATGGATGCCAAGTATGCATGCTTCCCCAGGCACACTCAAGAGCAGGGTCAAATCTGAAGAGGTACAACATTGCTTCCCTGGGGAAATGCAACCACCCCGGAGACTTAGCTCAAGTTCACACCATCTCCAAGGGACTTATTGACATCCCTACCCGCGTCATGGCAGTGCGCAGCAAGCTGTCCCCAGCCTTTTATCAACTGAGACTCAAGTCATTTATTGTACATAGATGAGGTGCAGGTGCTATAGAAGAGCTGACAAATTAAGATAATATACTCTACATGTCCTCTACTATAAAGAAGGGCATGCCAAATGCTATGAAAGAAACAGAGACCCCAGGGAAACTTGAGTGGAGTTAACCAATGCCTTTAGACATCTGGTATACCTCCCTAAAAACCTCTCTAAAAGTGCTGAGTCATCTGGATGGCTGTACTCCTTTAATCTTTCCATATACCTCAAACTGTCAATTTACAAATGATTCCTAGCTACCTTGATCCCAGAGACCCACTGGCTTCTCATGCCCAGATGCCCCAACCATACTAAAGAATTTCTTTTTCTAAAATTACCCTCCCAACAATCTCAGAAAAGCAAAACAAAAGAAATGTTTTCTTCATCTCTTTTTCTTTTCCATTACTCCACCAAACTCTCTAGCTTACAGGTATATTGATATGTCTTGTCAAAAGACTCATCTCAGACCCTGTGTTCCATCCTGTTTTCACTGGCTTTCAAATTAACAGACATGAGTATAAAGTATAATATTATCCACCCAACCTACAGACATTCACCACTGAAAAGCAAAGTCCTAATGTCCTTAGCAGAACAATCCTCAAACCATGATTACCATGGCTGACATGCAGATGGAAGACATGAAATTCTGATGCCATGTCCCCTGCTGAGGCTATCTGGGGGCCATATGCCAGAAGACTCCGTCCTTCTTCCCAGAATCACACTGGCCCGTGCACCACTGGGGATTTTAGTTACTTCTGTGTAGTTGTAACCAGAGTTCCTCACAGCAGAACAGGAATCAGGGAAAAAAGCAGGGATGGGAGCCAGATTCAAACCTCCAAGACACACCCACAATTCTTCCAGGTATGCCCTATCTCCTGAAATTTCTACCAGCACCCAAATGGCCCTACCACCTAGGAATGAAGCATTCAACACAGGAGTCTAGATTTCATGTTCAAACCACAAAATTTGGGGGCTTAGTTGCACTGCCTAACAGAATGGGCTGTGGAATCTAAGTCAACCAAACTTTGCTGGTTTCAATGAGTTGAAGAGCTGTGACCAACTCCACTTTCTCTGCTGGCCCTTCGTATCCTATTGACAAGCATAAAGAACAGCCTTCACTCTTCTTCCTCCTGAGAAATATCATGAGTGTGAACAAAACATTCTCCTGTACCATATTGACATTTCAATCAACAATGGACCACATGTGTGACAGTGACTGCATAACACTGTAATGGAAAGAGGCATTCTGGTACATGCATGTAATCCCAGGACTCATAAGACAGGAGGATCACAAGTTTGAGGACATCCTGGGATACATAGTGAAATGTATCTCAGAAAACAAGCAAATGGATTATAGTGGAGCTAAAAAAAAAATCCTATCTGATAGTATCCTAACATAATAGCATAGTGCATTATTCTCATACTTGTGGTACTGCTATAAACAGACCTATGACTCAGCCAGTCACACAAAAGTGTGGCATACACACTGCATACAATGTGTAGAACTTGATGAATGCCTGTGCAATTAGTCTGTGTATGCATAATTCAATCACCATTATTGTAAATGTATTCCTGCTACTTGTAAAATAAAAACTTTGCTGAAAACAACTCATGTCACAAAGGAAACCACCTCATGCACCAGGTGTTAAGTGTGTCTTTAGATTATATCAAGAGACCTGTCCAATGATTAACATAAACACCATCTTGGTTTGCATATATACATTTTGTCATGTTCTTATAACTATGAAGTCACCCAACACTACATGTCTCAGAATGGATCCTTGCCATTATGTTCTGCCACAGATGTGACAAGAAATGTCACATGACCATGATGACTTTCCACATACCATAACCTACATTTCTAGAAGGTCCCCCCATATCTTTCCAACAGATTATTGATTATAGTTACTGTAAATGGGTTCTATCCTTTGAAATCAAAATTCCTCACTGAAACAAAATACAACAGAGAAGACCGAGTGCTCAACATGCAGGAAATAAAAGACTACAGAGTGCTCAGCCATAAATGAGATACTCATATCACACTTCTCCCCTCTAAGGCTCAGGGGTCTTTGTGAAAGAAGAGGCAGAAAGATTGTAAGAGCCAGAGTTAGGGTGATTACATCAAGGAATTGTTTTTCAGACATAACAGAGCAGTTGCTCATATGAATTCATGGGGATTATGACACCAGCACAAGACCTGCTCAAGCTCCAGACAGACAAAATCCCATCATAGGGTGGGGAAGGTGGATACAAAATCCCGCCACCAGCTGGGGAGTTAGTGGCATTTGGTAGCTGCTGAGAGAATAGTCAGTTTTCTTTAATGGTGTGCCTGATCCCTGGTGAGTTGACCCCACTCCCAAGATAAGCTGGACAACACAAATTCAATGGGAAAAGAAGAAATCTCAGAGTTGGGTAGGTCATGATGGGATAGTGGAAATATTGGTAACAGGAAGAGTTTGGGAAAGTATAAATATATTGAGGATACATTATGAAATTCTTAGAGAATTAACACAAATATTACAAAAACATTAGGTGTTAAGAAGTTTGTAAAAAATGAATCTCACACCACTCTCCCTATCTGATAGGAAGTTACTGCTATCTCTGCCAATGGTCAATGAGATGAAGCAGAGACCAAAGGGTTTTCAAAGTTGGGTGTTCCCCAAAAGGCCTTTGTGGATTACACCGCATCCTCTTCCAAAGGCATCAGCAACTCCAGAGTCCCTCTGCAGGTAGGACAGCAGGTAAGTGGAAAGCTCTCCTGTTCCAGAGCTTGCTCCAAAACCCACACTTCCACCATCATCCACACACCCCAAACAGCCTTCGAGAGCACAGCCTTCCCCACTGTGGATACTGACAGCAGCAACTGCAAACACTTGCACTTGCATGCTCAGCAACTCTGCTTTAACGTGACTGTGTTTGTTAAGATGTAGTGATGACACAGGATCAAGTCTGCAAGCTTTATTGGACCCATGTTCTCCCTAATGTAGATGGTCCCTCCTTCTAGGGTCTGAGCAGTCCTCAGCGTACTAGAACAGGGTGCCCCAGAGGAAGATGTCTAAATTTGGGGAGCACGGGTCACGTTTTCTAGACCTCAAATTATAAGGTGGGAGGAGATGCCAATCTGTGTGGAATCACTGCTATGCATGGAAATGGGAGTGACCTCAGAAGATTGGGTGTGAGTCTGTTCTAGGGTTAGCTGGAGTGGTGTTTGAGGTTGAGAGAGACAAGCAGAATGAAGACAATGCTTTGCAGTAGCTCTGCTCAAACCAGTATGGACTTAAAACTGCACGACAGCCATACCCATTAGCCAAGGATAGACCATAGAAAGGGTGGCACAACAATCTTTTTCTCACACTTCTTTCCTTTTACCTAACCTGCTATGGGTTGGATCTGAAATGTTGCTCCAAACACTCATGTGTTGAAGGCTTGGCCCGCTTGCTCCCGTGTTCAAACGTGGGGTCTTTAGTGGTAAATGGATCATAGGGCTCCAATCATAGGGCTCAACAGACTACACCATGGCATGTGTAGCATCACTGGATATTAGGAGGCTTAAAAACTTTAGGAAACATGGCCTAGTTAGAGGAAACCCCTTGAAAGGTCTATACTATATTCTATCTTTCTATCTATCCATCCATCCATCCACTCACCCATCCCTCTGTCTTTCACTATAGATAAATAAGTAGGTAAATAAATAATCTTCCTTCCTTCACCCCCTCCCCCACCCCACATCCCTTCCTCTCTTCCCAACCCCATGGCTCACAGCACCCAGCCCTCGTGCCCCACTTACTGGCTGGCAGCTGTCTTCACAGGGCTTCTGAGAGCACTGGGCCACACGCAGGCCCATGACAGTATCCTCCATGTCGGTGCAGGTGCATGTGTCACAGCCCTCCTCCCAGAACTGGCCCACAGGGTAGATGGTGCCTCGGTGGACACAAACCTGGGGACACAAGGTTTCTGAGAATGAAGTCTCATTGGGATCGTTTAACCGTTAGTGACATCCATTGTATGGAAGGGGCTTAGTAGGTGAAAAACCTCATCCCCATATACAACAAGTCAATCGTGGTGGATCGCTCCTCTTTTAGACTGTTATTTGTATCTTACTGTTTTGGAATTATAGACTAAGGCAATACATGCTCACAAGATCAGAGTAAGGACTGCATTCTACACGGTGTGGCGATACATTGGTTATGATTTAATAAAGCCACTGAAGATCAGAAGAGCAAAGCAGCCACCTCTAGCTTATCTTTAACTGGGGCTGAAATAGGTGATCCTGTCTCCACAAATCCTCAGAGTGCAATTCAGACTGCACTGCTCTCCAAGCCTCAGACTGCAATCTCTGAGTTCCTGTCTCCTCCCACCTTCTAGTCCTTTCTCTGCCTAGCCATATCACTCTTGTCTCAAGCCATAGAGCCAGGCAGTGGTGATACACACCTATAATTCCAGCAGCCATACTAGCTAGCCATAGAAGCCAGGTGGTGGTGGCACACACTTTTAATCCCAGGACTTTGGATCACACACTTTTCATCCTATCACCAGGGAGTAACATGGCTGGGCAAAGAGAGGAGCATAAGGCAGGAGGAGACAGGAGCTCAGAGACTGCAGTCTGAGGCTTGGTAGAGAACAGTGCAGTCTATATTGACCTCTGAGGATTCTTGGAGATGGGATCACCCATTTCAGTCTGTGGTAGAGATAAGAGCTAGTGGCTGGATGCTTTGTTTTTCTGATCTTCAGTGGCTTTATTAAATCATAAACAATGACATGGTTCCTATAGCACTGTAACACCAGTCTATTAAAAGATTGTAATAGTGTAAGTGTGGGGGGGGGTGGGAGTGGATGGATGCAGTGTGTGGGGGGGAGCAGGAGTGGATAGATGCATGGGTGTGTGGATGAACTGAAAGCAATGAACAGATGTGATGGGGAATGTACTGTGTATGTTTATCTTATTGATTGTTAAATAAAATACTGTTTGGCCAATGAGACAGCAAGTTAGACGGGACTAGGAGTCAAAGAGGATTCTGGGAAATGTAGTAGAGACGTGTGATCCAGGCAGGAAATGACATAACAAGCGAAGGAGAAATAGGAAGCGTCCCTCTCCGCTCCTGCTCCAGTGGCACAATGTGATCCACCGGCAAGGAGGGACACCAATAAGACATCTGATAAGATAAGTCTTATAAAATATATAGATTTATGATAGTTAAGACTGGGCCAACAGATGAGGAATCCTAGTCATTGGCCAAGCAGCTTTAAACCTAATACAAGTTTCTGTGTAATCATTTGGGCCCTAACTCAGATGGGCGGCTGGCGTAAAGCGCACATATGGCGATGGGGCTCGGTGGCTTTTGGTGAAAGATTTATCGTAACACAGATGAGTTCTAAATAATTCGTGCAACCGCAGTGTCTCTTTGGCTAACCTTATTAAAGCCATACACTGGCTACAACCTCAGCATCTAGCCATGATGAACACATAGTAGATTCACTATCTCTACACCCTGAGTTAACGACATTTCCATGTGAGTGAGATGGGATACTGACAGCTCACCCTTGGTTCAAGGATGAGGAGGGCTGGGAAGTCCAAATCTTTGAGGAGCAGTGAGTGGGTCATCACCGCAATCAGAGTTGGGCAGTGCCTACCTTGTCGGGGAGACAGGTGGTTGTGGTGCAGCCACAGTCATTGGTGGTGGTCGAGGCCAGGTACCCAAGTGGGCAGCTCAGTGTGGAGTTGACACAGCTGCAAGCACACTCATACTCATCGCAGCACTGGGTCTTCCTAAGGGTAGGTGTCCGATGAGGCGGGCAGGAGGGTGGGGACACTCTTTTGCATTCTTCTTTCCTGCAGGCTGCAGTGAACACAGGTGACACTCACATCCTGCTACACTGAGCACTGCTCTCTACTAGCCCTCCTATGTATTTGGCTGTGGCAGGGTTCTTGGGAACCTTAGACCGAGGCTATTGAGTCAGACACACATATACGCCCAGCTCAATGGCTATAGGACATTCAGATACCAAAAAATGCCCAGTCTTCTGAATGCAGCATTAATGAGAAATGCAAGGTTGGGAATCTTTATGGAGAATGGGGAGGCCACTCAATCACTGCACTACCACCCTTAAAAACAAGTCAATGAGCTACGATCCTCCCAACTACTAACTCTGAGAGATACCAGACACAGACCACCTAAAACCCAGGGAGACCTAGGCAAATCATGGCTGGTAGACACTTGTGCACACTGGCAGCTAGCAGGATCCTATGCCCACCTCAGTGCCTCAGACATCACCCCCCAGTCTTACCTTCTCCAACAACGCATAGATGAAAGGTTGCCAGCAATGCTGGCACAACCACAATGCTATTTTATAAATGTTCAAGCCCAGTCTTTCACCCTGCACCTAACTTCCAACTTCCTTATAATGTGCCCCCTCCATCCCCAAAGCCTACATCAAGGAACTCAAGTGAGACTCCAAAGTAGATGTCCAAGAACACCCTTAGACTTGAAAGGGACCCTTGGTAACTAAATACAGAATTCCATGTCTCACTCTGTCTAATTTTAGCCCACCCCGGTGCTAAAAAACGTATTTTATGATTAAATATATAAACCCACAGAGAAAAATACCCTATTAAGTCTGAAAATAAGGTTCAATGATGAAGATAAGCAAGGCAACATGCCTTCCACTCAGTGGCAAAGAGGATGAGGTGAGCAAGTAACTCTTGGGTTTGAAGTCTAACTGCCTGAGTCCCATCATCTGCTTTGTGTTTGTTTGTTTGTTTGAAATTTAGCTAAGTGTATTGATGTTTTGTCTACACGTATATCTGTGCAACACATGAGTCCCTGGTGCTTTCAGAGGCCAGAAGAGAGTGTCAGATCCCCTGGACTGCATGCAGTTAATAGTTGAGTCATGTGGCTGCTGAGAATCAAACCTGGGTCTGGAAGAGCAGCCAGTGTTCTCAACCACTAGGTACCTCTCCAGCACCTCGTCTGTGTCTAATGACCCTCCAGAATGACATGGCTGCAGCTGTGTCCACACTGGTACACCTGCAGCCGATATAGCCAGGGCTGTCAGAGGATTCAATTAAGTGTGACCCTAACCCTTTTTTCCAAGTGGACCCTAAACCTAGGTTCAGCTAGCTGAAAAAGGAAATGAGACGATCTTGGTCCCCAAAACAGAAGATGACTTTCCAAGGCCAGGAGGAAGTGGCCCCACAGTTGCTCCTTATCCACAGCAGCCTTACCACAGGTGAAGGTAGGTCTGCATTCTCCAGGGTTGGTCAGGGTTGGCTGGAACCCTCCTTCACATGGAGGCACCGGAGGCAAGTTGCAGTTGGCCAGGTCACACTCTGAGATTCAAGAAAGAGGGATGTATACAGATTTTGTTGAGGTGACTCTCTTATTGCTTGTGACATCTGCATACCCTCTCCTGTGGATTTCTGCAACTTTAGGGGGATGGTGATGACCAATAAAGGCAGGTGGAGATGGAGATTTAAAAAGAGAGAGGGGGGACATATTGGATGGATGGATGGATGGATGGATGGATGGATGGATGGATGGATGGATATGGGGAGAGGGTAGGTGGATGGGAAACAGTAAGTGGCTAGGTGAGTAGATGTTTGAATATACAGAAAGAATATGAATAGAAGATAGATAGATTGATAGATAGATAGATAGATAGATAGATAGATAGATAGATAGATGACAGATACTGTGTTATCTTCACATGGACTAATATTATCATTTGCAAACACTTGTAGCCTTTCACCTAAGTCTGAATCCTCTAGACCTCAGTTTCCCCTTCTGTATAGTGGAAACTCTAGCCTACCAGGTTAGCCCAAGGATTCCAAGAACTAATCAAAGTGCAGTCCCTAGCACATTACAGATACTTACATTTGTCTATAAGCTGGGAGACTGGACCTAATAAACCCCCAGGTTTCTCTACCACTAACATTCGGAGATCTAGTTGATAATATTGCTCTCAAACCAGATTGAACCCCCTAGAAGATTTGTGTTGATATCTGATAAATTTCATCAGAATAATTCACCTTCCCAGAATCCTGTCTTCTTTCTAGTTCCTTAGCCTCTCTCTCCCTTGGTCTGTCTACTCTCCTTTGAAGATCTGCCTTTGGAGAATGAATTAATAAACACGTCTGATGAGACAGATATGAGGACGCCATTAGCGCCCTGTCATGCAGCCACTCTACTGTCTCTGAACTCCCTAAATTACACAGTCATCCACCACCACCCCTCCCCCGCCCCCGCCCTACACACACAGCCGCTGCTGAGAGCCTGCATGTGGCCTTGCCCATAGCTAGTGTCCTCAGAGTCTTCTTCAGCAAATCTCTGTGGCCCCAGCAATCACCCCTCACATTTAAAGCTACTTTGTAAAAAGCTGTTTTCTGCAAGTTTTCCTTTTAGTCCAGCCAGCCCTCTCCCACCTTCTTTCGTACACCCTGTGGCTAAGAGCAGAACATTTTTGGGGTATCTATGGTCTGACCCACTTGGACCGAGCTCTGCACCCTGGAGCAATTTGCTGGTGCTGGCAGTGGGTGCGGCGGGGGGGGGGGACTTGCCACAAGCATACTCTGGGCAGCACCGGTTTGCACTCTCTTTGAGGCGAGCCACTTCACATGGGCCACACGTGGGAGCTGGAGAAGAAAAATAGCCACAAAATTCAAGGGGGAAAAATTAACTATGGTCCAGACTAGAAAAGGTTTTCGAAGTTCTCATTCACAGAAAGGCAGCACAGATCCCACATGGGACTCTCATGGGATTTGGACCACGGGACCAGGATGCTGGACAGAACAGAATCCCGATCAGAATGAGTCTTCACAACGGGTCTCACTAGCATCCTTAAGATTTGCCCAGGAGACTCTGAGTCTGATTAAAGCATTGGGAGGAAGGACAGGTGCATCTACTCCAGGAGCCAAAGGGGACTCCTTATCTCAGCAAGCGGAAATATGGTCTCATCAAGAAAAACACCTCCAAGTGTCCTTTATTTGGTTTGGCCCATCATGTGTATGACAAGGTGGCTGGAGGCCCATGGAGTCCTTTTCCTGCAGGGGCGTCAGACATCAGACTGGCTTACCTCTGGCTGTGGGACATGGCTGCGCAGTGCAGTTGGCCTTCCTTCCGCTGAGGCACACACAGATCTGACAGGGCTGATGGTCTGGGACCCAGGTCTCTAGGAACTGTGGGGAAAACAAGGCTAAGCAGGGGAATAGGACACTGTAATCTGAGCCCCCCGGGGTCATGGAGTCAGTACTCTATCCTATAGCTTGGCTTGCCCTCTTGAGAGTCTGGATGCAGGGGATGAGGCAGGTGGGCTAAAGGCCTGTGACAGCCTTGCCTGTCTACTTGAGTTTGCATTGCTTGTGACAGGACCCTGCCTCAGAAAGAAACATGTTAAACAGACAAGCCGCTGACTGTAAACAGGATGGGGGAGGGGAGGACTTAAGGCAGAAAACCACAGAGAAGCAGAATAAAACTGGGGTGTGTACACTTGTAATCCCAACACTGGGAAGACAGAGACAGTGGGATCTGGAGTTCGAGGCCAGCCTGGGCTAAATATAAGAGCTTATATAAAGGAGAAAAATAAGGCTTGGGGTAAGGGAGGAGAAGGAGGAAGAAGAAAAAGAGGGGGAGGGGATGGAGAAAGAAATGTAAACAAAAAAATGAAGGTGTGTTGTAGATGCTACTTCAGGCCAAGACCTGGAGTCCCTGGAAAGGTGTGCAGGGCACTGACTCCCTTAGGGGCAAGAAGCTGAGAGTGTCCACTGAGAAGAAGGGGGTCCTGCTATGATGTTCCGGTTTTCACTTAGCCTTTCTCTCTCTAAATGTGGACCTCAGATATCTAAACAATAAAGACCTTTCCAGTTATCAGAGAGTGTGCTGACAGCTGTGTAGTTAACATCCCTCCCATGGAGGCACACACAGACTTGACAGAGCTCATAGTCTGAACCCATCATCAGAAGGACACCCCAAAATGGGCGTCCAACTTGTTTCTCTAGGAGTTCCAGCCTTCCTAGGAAGCTTTAGCCAAGCACATCCAAGGCAGGACACAGAGTCAACTGCCCCTGAAAAAGTGAGTCAAGTAAGGTCAGCCCTTGGAGACGCCACAGGCCTGCCTGCAGCCGGCAGGGGGCGCTACTGGCTGAGCTGTCCCACAGATTTCAGATCAAGGCACAGAACAGGAATAAGGATATCTGTCTGGATTTCAAGATTAAATAAAGAGGTCAAAGGAACAGCCTGCAGAGACTATGGGGTAGGGAAACTGAAGTGCACAAGGCCAGTCAAAAGACACGTGTGTGTCGTACACCACCCACCAGTAGCTGGAAGATGCCTAAGGAATGCAGCCCCCAGCCTGAGCTGCAGCTTTAGAGCCTCGGGAGAAACGAGGTGCCAGGCCACAGGCTCTGGGTAAGGGACGCATGTCCCCCTGAGCTGAGGGGGGACTCTGAACAGTGCTGTGCTAGCAGCAGCTCCCGTGAGAGCCGACAGCCTGTGCGGGACTCCAGACTCATCTGATCCTCCTACAAAAGTTCACATCTCCACGGTGCATTTTGTAAAACAAACAAGAGCTATGGAAACTGGTAAATATTTTTCCTTTTCCCGGGGTATAGCAGATTTAAGCCCTGGTTATTTCCCTGAAGGAAGGTTTTTCTGGGCTTTCTGTTTAAGTCTAAAAATTCATTTAATGGAAATGTTCTTCATATTAGATTTTCATTCTTTCTCGGCTTTAAAGCGGATGCTGGGAACACAGGTGGCTGGATAAGCGCTTGTTTTCTCCCATTTAAACTCTATTTTCTGAATAACTAAAACCGGCTGTGTTCTCGTCAGAGGTTTTGATTAATTCTATACTTGATTTTTTTTTTGCAAATATAAAACTGCTCTTATGTCCAAAATCATGCACTCTTTGGACAGATCCCTTAATGCAACTCATATGCCTATTCCAATTTGTTGTCCTGAAAGTGAGGAAAATAGATAAAAGAAGAAACAGAGTCAGAGAGCTGTGGGGGAAGAGAGGATTGTACACACCAAGGCATTATAATAAAAGTCACAGGCTTCCTGCCTTTGGGACGTGCAGACACCTGACACTCATGGAGCCAGGAACACTCAGCTAGAGAGCTGACTTCTCACCACAGGAGGCCGAGGAACAGGGCAAGACCATTTCTGCCTTCCTCTTGGCGCCTCCCACAGTTTGGAATGACTACCCGGTGTTAAAGGACACAAATGCTCTGTATCATTGGAGCCCTGGGGGAGCCCAGGAGCCCTGATGATCAGGGAGAGAAATGTGAGGTTTTGCCAACTCACTCGGGGAATCTTATGTCCAAGGACTTAATTCATTTGGCAATTTGGAATATGACAGACCAACATGCCTGGGTCTCTTCCCTACTCACATATTCATGGTGAGAAAAAGGGGGTTCACTGGGATGAAGTTCAACAACTAGCCTCAAAAAAAAAAAAAAAAAAAAAAAAAAAAAAAAACACCCAGTCACTAGTGCTGTCGGATCAGATGCTCGCATCCGTACCTAGTCAGTGCAGATCTTAGCTAGCAGTTCCTCCCGAGGTCCATGCTGTCAACAGCAATCCCATCATATGATTCATGCCATATGAACCTTGGACTTCTCATCCATTAAATATGACATGTGATAATGACCCCACAGGGATTTGGAGGAAATCAAACTGATCTACTTCCTGGCTTACAATCTCATGGACAAAACAATGGAGCTACTGTGACTATAGTTTTCTTCACTCTTTTTGGTTGGCTAGCTTTACCACAAGCTCCATTAGCTGTGACCAAATACAGGGGTAAGCCACCCCACCTGGGCCATTAAAAGGAAATGGTTCTCCTTGGTGACTGTGGTAGTTTGAAAGAAAATGGTCCCCAGAGGGAGTGGCACTATTAGGAGGTGTGGCTTTGTTGGCATAGGTGCTGCCTTGTTGGAGGAAGTATATCACTGTGGAGGCGGGCTTTGAGGTCTCATATACACTCAAGCCACACCCAGTATCTCAGTTCACTTCCTGTTGCCTGCAATTCAATATGTAGGACAGACACTTGGTTACTTCTCCAGCACCATCTGCCTGTATACCACCATGTCACACCACGATGATAATAGACTAAACCCCTGAATTGTAAGTCACCCCAATTAATTAATGTTTTCCTTTGTAAGGGTTGCAATGGTCATGGTGTCTCTTCACAGCAATAGAAATCCTAACTAAGACAGTGAGGGTGGAAATGTTAGATCTTGAGAACACATGTCCCTTTATTAGGAGCCAAATAGGTTCCTACATCTACCTTGCTTGGTGATGTCATTGACAATGATGAAGGACAGGGCTGCTATGCACCTGATCTTGTAACTATAGATGCTATCAACTTAGCAGAGAGAAGACTACCTACCATCGTAGACCAATGGAAGAGTTTGGTGAATATCCTTTGGGAATGTGTTCATGAGCCCCCAGAAAGCTAAAGAAGTGGCAACTCAATGATTTCCAAGCAAATCATTCCAGAAACAATGTAGTAAATGTGTTTCTGAATAACAGAAAGTCAGGTCTTTGGAGATACACTGAGCCTCAAATTCTGAGTGCAACGTCAAACGACTCCACAAGCTGGGTCCATGGGAAAGTTGACTGAGCTGGTTCCCCGAGGATTTTCTGTATTTAGAAGCAATGTGAGTTAAACTAGCATCTTCTGGTAGAACCTGACTTCAAAGGGTGTTTTACACACATACACACACACACATGCTTCATAATCAAATAAGTTAAAGAAGCAAAACCCTTCTGAAACATTTGCAATGTACGTTAGTCCATTAAAAGCAATAAAGAATACCACGATGAAGAAAGGTACTGAACTATTTATGTTCTTAAAACTCACTTGGCCACAGGTGGCTACAAATGATCTGGATGAAAAGAAACATTTCTTTAAAGAATGTGGCGATAATATACAAAGTACATAGTATGTCTGGATAATGGCAGGTAAACACAGAGATAATATACAAAGTACATTGTCTGAACAACAGCAGATATCATCTTATGTTATTTTCTCCTTCCCTCCCGAGTTCTTATATCACCCTGCCTGCATGAATAAAAATAATATGAAATGATGTGCTGACACTTTGGTGTTTGGTTCCACAGCTAATTCATGGGAGACCTAAGATCTAAACTCAGATCTGCCTGAATCCAAAGCTGTTATGCATGCTACCTTCCTGTCTCTCCAGGATTCCATTAGAGTCAGCTCTGCTGTGGGAAATGGAAGGGGCCAACCCACTGAGGTGAAGATGCCAGGCTCCTACCTGATGTCGGACTCCATCCTCCCCAATACACTGAGTGCAGGCCTCCTCGGGAACACAGCTGCCTTCCAGCATGACTTGGTGTTGGGGACAAAAACAGCCTTCTGAGGGGTGATCACCACAGGAGCTAGTAGTGTTCCCATCACAGTGCCGAGGGCAGCCATGCTCACAGTGGTTATATACCAGGGATGCTGGGCACGACATAGCTGCAGACAGAGAATGAGGTCATCCTCAAGGCCTACACCAGCCAGAAGCAAAAGAAGCACAGCCAATTCAAGATGGCCAAGCATCTGACAAACCTGCTAGAGCAGACATGATCAGTCTCCCCCAGTGTCCATTCTCTCCATCTTCCAGTATACTAGAATTCTGGTTTCAACATATAAGCACTCAGAATAGAGAATACAAAACCTCCTTTGTGATTAAGTCACACGACCAAGCTCTGACCAATTAACTACAAGAGGAAGGAAGTGTTCTATCAGTAGGCTCCGGGAATCTATTTTATTTTAGAAAGACAACTTGCCTCCTTCCTGAAGTACAGTTGATCCCTGCACGTCATACCTAGAGCTGCCTCTTAAACCTTGGGGATGATGATCACAGCCAGTATCAATAATGCCACCTCTCTCTGACCATCCAAATGACAGCAATTCCTACTTCTCTGCCACTTGCAGCTAAATATAACCCCAACCAATTATGTGAAAACTCTGACGTTCTTTCTTTGGAATACAGACATATCTAAGACTTTAGAAAAAAAATCTTAAAGAATCCATAGTGAAAAAAAAAAAAGAATCCATAGTAATGAGGAGAGGCCTTGGGAGAGAAGCTACTAGGGAACTCCCTTCTCACACTGTAACCTGGCTGGGCAAACTTTCTCACATTACCATACTCACAGAAGTAGTGTTGGTTTTCAGAGCATAGGGGGGTTTCTCTGCGTGCACAATAAACAATGAGGACATTCACACAGCAAGTAAACATAGAAGGTGCTCTCCAGTGCTAGAGGCATGGCTCAGAGGTTAAGAGCACTGACTGCTCTTCCAGAGGTCCTGAGTTCAATTCCCAGCAACCACATGGTGGCTCACAGCCATCTATAATGAGATCTGGTGCTCTCTTCTGTCATGCAGGCATACACCAGTCAGAACACTGTATACACAATAAATAAATAAATCTTTTTTTGAGAGAAGAGGAAGAGGAGGAGGAGGAGGAAGGAGAAGAAGGAGAAGGACAAGAACAAGAACAACAAGAACAAGAAGGTGCTCTTTCCATAAGCAGCATCTGCCTGTTAGTCTGTAGGCAGGTAAAGTAGAAGCAATACCATCCTAATGGATAACACCCTGCTGTGGAATATCATTTTAACTATGTAAAGATGTATTACATTTGTTTATGCTGGCAATATTACTTTAACTGTATAAAGGTATATTATATTTGTTTATGCTGCATTTGTTTAATGATGTAAAAATGTGTTATATTTGGTTTTGCTGAATTTGTTAAATTATGAAAAGATGTGTTGCTGTTTCACCTTGCCTCCCTAAGGCACCTGGTTGGTCTAATAAAAAGCTGAACAGCCAATAGCTAGGAAGGAGAGGGATAGACTGGGCTGACAAGCAGAGAAAATAACTATAAGGAGAAATCTAAGCTCAAAAAGAATGGGAGAAGAGAATAATGAGCAGAGAATGAGGAGAAAGAGAGGGGCACACCATGGGCCAGAAGTCAGGCAGCCACCAGACAGACAGACCTAGAGATGTCAGGAAAGTAAGATATATAGAAAGAAAGAAGTTTAAAAGCTATGAGGCTTTTAACAAAACCCAAGAGATAAAAAATGACTGGAAGCAGGAGTGGGGTAGTCCAGCTCTTTATTCTGTCAAACCCAAGATTCAGGAAGACTAGAGAGTAGCAGCCAGTCACTAGTTGAGCCCTCAGCTCTGGGCCAAAGAGGCTGAGAACTCTGTGATGACAGATTCTGAGACATCAACATGTACAAAGTCAATGATTCCATCTGATGACATAGGCTAGGATGTTGGTGTGTTCCTCACTCTAGCTCCTGTGGGGACAGAACCCCCCATATCCGATTCACACTGGTAGTCTGTGCATTTCAAATGATAAGCAAAGGACAGGTCCAATTAGGAAGGTTGGCCTTGATAGGGCGAGGCCTACATTAGCATTCCTATTTGTAAATGAGCAGTTCTGAGGAGTCAACAGGCAAAATGCCATGCCCACCTCAGAACCCTGCTCTGTGGTTATTTGTTCCCCATTGGTAGAATTTCAAATTCTATTGTACTGGTTATGCAATACATAGCTGATGTCTACCTGTGTCTAAAACACCAAACTTGCAACTATTTGAACTACAGGAATACACTTTTATCTACATGAAAATTGTGCATTCAAAGGGCTTCTCTATCTACAGTCTTGTTAGACCCTAACTGGAACCCTAATAGGAAATACAGGGATTTTGATCTTCATTAAAAAGACGAGAACCTGAAGACCAGAGAGCGTGAGCAACCCCATACTTGACTTGTTTCCAAGGTTTAAGGAGCATGTATGGAGACTCACCACAAAAATCAGTTGTCCTCCAATCGACACAGACCCCATTGGTCCGACAGAGGTGGGCATAAGAAGCAATCACCTCACACACTCGCTCCTGGTGGCAACTGTCTTGCTGGCAGATGGCATGGAATGTGGCTGGAGCAAGGACCTTGTGGCACTCGGCAAACAGTGTCGAGAGGAGGACCTGGCAGTGGGAGCTGTCAGAGACAGGGCACTGCTCCTCAGGAACAGGCTGGCATGGGTACCCTGGCTGCTGCACAGTCCATTCCTGGATAAGCCTTTTCCAGTCTGTGGTGACTGTGCCATCGCGCAGCATGAAGTCATTGGCCCCATTCTCATCACAGATTCCTAGAGCAATAAAAAAAAAGACAGCAGTGCCAAATACTTGGCCCTTCTCCACCCTCAAGGATGGTCTGACCCTCACTACTAAATGCTTGAAACAGGATTGAGTAATATAAGCGTCAAGATGCACACCCAAGGAGCACAGCGGGGGTTTACAATGCAGAGTGAGCAAACGCCTCCTTACCACAGAGACCGTACATCTTCGAAGCAAAGGTCTTGGGACTAAGCTGCAGTTGGAACTCATTGTTTTGTGGCGTGAATGTGAGGATGTGGCCAAGGTGGTTGAACCTGACCTCATACATGATAGCACCGTAGACGCTGACTTCCATGTCTCCACCCACGTAAGGAGCAGGGACCAGTCTCCCGTTCACTGACATCTGCTCCAACAAGAAAAAGCTCAACAATAGTTCTCATGCATCAGAAGTCCCAGGCCTTCACTCTTGTTCCTTACTAAAGCTACTGAGGGTCCTTCCCTGTGCATCCCTGACACTCCTCTGACTACAGTTGCCCACACCTGATGTTTGCGACCAGCTCTTCCAAAACAAAGGGGCTTTGGAGAACTTGGCAGCACAGATTGCTATTATACTGTGCAGGCAGCATAAACCAGAAAGCCCAAGGCTCCAGGAATGACCCCTTCCCGATAGGCCAGGGAAGTTGCCACTGCACCAGCTACTGGGGCGGTGTCTCCAGAAGGAAGCACCTGCCAGGAGGGCTTCGAATCCTCCAAATGAGCAGGCGTGCCTTCCTTCTGAGGCCCACCATATAGCATATCAAGCATATTAAAATGCACTCACATTTTGCAGCGAATGTAATTTTGTTGTAAAAATTTTGGAAGGGTTTTTTTATCACTCTGATTTTAAGATTTCTTTGGCTATGACTCCTCGTTTGATATATGACTAACTCTGATTTCTCAGCAATTAGTGCTCATACTCAGGAATTCTTACCAAGTGAGAAAATCTAGTCTGCAAGTTGTTTTCACACCATGAAATATTTATGATTTCTAAATGAACAAGTAAAGAAGTTGGCATAATATAACCTTTTGTAAGCATTTAATCAAACATTTATTTATGGCAGTTTGGCAGTCTCCTCTCTAAATTCTGAAGCCATACGTTTTTTGTTGAGGCCCTAAATATTTTCAAAGGCCCTGATTTAAGCACTAAATATTTCTGTTTGGAAAGCCCCCAGGCCTTGGGTACTGGGCTCATACTGCCTAGTGCGTCCGTGGTCCTGGTGCCAACCCAACTCCTTATCAATGCCAGAAACCGGGACTAAATTCATAACTTGCTATCTAAAGCTGATCCGCTCTCCCAAATCTGGACCCAGAGCAACATGAAATCATGCCAAGACTAGGGAGATGACAAGGAACCCCTCTGAAGGAGGAAGTGCCCTGTAGTCAAGGGAAGGCTGACTCCCAGGCAGCAGCAACAGCTAAAACCAGACCATGTGGTTTTCCTGAAGTTTCGCTCTGCCCTGCCACGGATCCCACGGCAAACTGTGCTCACCTCCATGTCACTGTGCAGCTCCACAGAGAGGCCACCATGCTTAATCTCAATGGACTTCATGCAGGCTTGCCTTGCCCCAGGGCTGCAGGCCCCATTGTGGAGAATCACTTCCAAGTCCTGCTCCTTGTTGTGAAAGAGGACATAGGAGCAGTTGCCCGTCAGCTTGAAGTTCTGCCCATCGAAGGTGATGATATGCCGAGTGGAGCTGCCAGTGCACACACCTGAATGGGGAAAGCAGGTGACAGATGGACCCCGTGGACCCTGTCCAGCCCCCTCCCTCGTACATGCCTGCAGCCATGTGGCCACGCTGCACACAGACAATGTGAGCCAGCCACTCTCCAGGGGAACCTGACCCAGGAAAGAAAGCGAAGTTCCAAGGGTGTAATGTCATGTTGAAAGCATGAGGTGCTGAAAAGAAAATTCACCTGAAGACACGTGTCCCTTCAGTTAACAGTACCGGCGGCCGCAGGGACTTATCCGGCAAGAGAGTACACAAGAGAAATATTTCCTGGGCCAAAATTAAGCAACTGGGTCTCAGAGCTCACTCAGGGACCCACAATCACATAGAATCAATGAAGTCTCAAGGTTCCTACTAAAACAGTGTGCGAACACATCCACATAAGATGATTGGGGGTGGGGGTGGGTGAGTCCTACTTTGAGTGTGTTAGCGCCACTGATTAGAAAGCAAGACTTGGGCCTAAATGAAGTTGGAGATGAGTCTTTCACACACGTCATGACTCAGCTATAGAACTGAATGAACATAAACCAAGAGAGGAAAGCTCACTGAAACCCCCCACCCATGCCCCTTACTCATAACCAGGCCTGGGGCACCACCACTTCTGTGGCTGATTATCAACACAGTATGTGACTGGCAGGGCTGGCTGAACCAACTCTCGGAGCTGAGCAGCCTCCATGGCTTTCAGTCAAACTCCCCAAGGCCTTGAGCGTTCCTCCCTTCCCGTGAGACAGACTGAGTGCCAGAGTCCTACGGGTTCTTGTGCTGCTAGGGAGCCCTGTTGGGGTTTGGGCAAGTGTCCCCCTAAGGGTTGGCTGCTGGCTGGTGGCACTGCTGGAAAGCAATAGGACTTTAAGGGGTGTAGCTGAGTAGAAAGGAGTTAGGTTATTAGGGGTGAGCCCTTGAAGGGTACATAAGTTGGTGGCAATCTAAACTAAATGCCAGTCTAATAGTACATGGCATGCATGTTCATGTTTCATAAATGGATCTGTAAACCTTAGGGCTAAGCTATTGCCACAAATGAAATTCAACAGCTTTTCGTTCCAACATCTCAGTGTGATAAAGGCATACAGAATCACAGCTACTTCCATTTTCAGAATACCAATTTATCTTTCGACAAACCATCACAGTGTACTCCAGTTTAATGACCAGGCTCCTTCCCACCCTTCCTCCCTTGCCTCCTTCTTTTTTTCCTCTCTTTCTTTTATTTTTTAGATGTGTATGGGTATTTTGCCTACATGTATTTTATTTGTGGATGTCAAAAGAAGACACCAGATCATCTGAAGCTAGAATTATAGACAGTTTTGAGCTGCCATGTGGGGGCTGGGAATCAAACGTAGGTCCTCTAGAAAAACACCAAGTGCTTTTAACCACTGAACCATGTCTCCAACCCCTACTACCAATTATAATTAGCCACATATATTAACAAACTCCAAAGTTCAAGGCACAGGAAGAGTTAAAGTAACCCAAATGAAGAATGAGAATCTGAGACTTACATAATAAAATGTTATCACAGAGCTACAAAATATATTTTTAAACATACTATTCATAAATGTATTCTAGAGGGGCTGAAGAGATGGCTCAGCAGTTAAGAGCACTGGCTGCTCTACCAGAGGTCCTGAGTTCAATTCCCAGCAACCACTTGGTTATTCACAACCATCTGTAATGAGATTTGGTACCCTCTTCTGGCATGTAGGCATATATGCAGGCAGAACACTGTATACCTCTTCTGGCCTGTAGGCATACATGCAGATGGAACACTGTATACCTAATAAATAAATCTTTTTAAAAGATGTATCCTAGAATCCATTTCATCTCTCCTCTCTCCTTTTCTTCAGATTCTATTATTTCACTGTCACTCTACTTGGCAGAGATGTATCTAAAAACCAAGCATTACATTAAAACTATAGTCAGGGTGTCAAAGAGTGAAGGATGTACATTATAGGAGTCCACTGACGAATCAAAGACCAAAAGAGACTCTGGGAGCTAGAGACAGAGCTCAGTGGTACAGTGCTTGCCTAGTGCATGTGAGGCCCCAGGTTCCCAGCACCAAATCAGGGTAAGGAAATGGCAAGATATTTGGAATTGAGAAGCAACACATAAAAAATATCAAAGAGGGAAACTGGAGGCCTGGAAAGACATTTTAAAGAGGGCTGCAACACCAGAAGACATGAAATTCTGCACACGTCACTAAGGAAATGACTTTCCCAACTGGTTTCATTGAGTGAGGAAAAAAAAAAAAAAGACCCTGATCCACACAATGAAGAGAGTGACAGGAGTCTGTGAAAATGACTTTAAAAATCAGGAAGTGAGAATCGGCACTCCTCACTCAGTGGAGATTCTACTCCCACCCCACCCCCCAAGAAAATGTCAGGGGGGGAAACTATGACACAATATGCAGTAATTTAAATATACTCAAATATTTATTGATGACTAGACTGAGACTGCCTTGACAAGACGGCTCCTTTGTTGTACATCCCCTAAGAGGGACAAATGGGAGGCCACAGCCTGTGCACAGGACTCTCATGATGTAAGAGGTAAGTCTGTGTGCCACTCAGTCATAGGAAATTCAGAGCCAGTGTCTAATTCTTGACTGAGGGATCTCTGGCCACAGGTGGCCAGACAGCAAGGGGCATGCTTGCTGATGTTTGAGAAGAATCACTTTCTCTGTCCCAGTGGTGGGATAAGGGCTGAGCTAATCTTAGGAATGGGGTAGGAGCTAGAAAGGATGGCCAGGGGTTGTGTTCAAAGTGATTCTTTCTAAGAGAACTTCTGCCAAAGAGGGGAAAGACTCTGAAAGAGACTGAGTCAAGACGGACTGAATGCAGAGGCATCAGAAGCCTGTGTGGAGGTTAGCAGCCACCAGGCCTGGGAATTGAAGCCCAGGGAAGGACTTCAGAAAAGCCTCAAGAGCGCTTATGCACAGCCCTGTGTGGGCCTCTGAGCCCATCCATCTCCTTCTTCATGCTCTCAGCTACGAGGGAAGCTGTCCACACTCCTTTTCCCAGAGGCAGGCAGTAGAAGCTGTGTCTGGGAAGATATAAAAACTCTAACCAAGTTCAAAGTTTTAATTATTGCCCAGCCACTGAGACCATCTGATGGCTGAAGTGACCATAGAATTCCTTACAAATAAACAGAAATAGCATGAACTCTGGGACCATTTTCATCTAAGCCAGAGGGAAACGTATCCCCTTAAATACATTCTGAGGGGAGAGTGAGATGTGAAACACAGTCCTGATGGCACCTCACAAGTATGTCTGTTCCCACTGCTGAGAAGAGATCCCCACAGAGGCCAGTTTTTCCCACCAGTGAGGCAGACGGCTACCCGTCCCAGACGAGTAATTCACCACAGGCTCATGGGGGATGGACCTGTGTCCAGCTCTTATACCAGGCCACCTGACAGTATCCAGTTGCATGCAGCCCCATACGACTACAGGTATGACTTGGGAGAAGGGCTCTGGTGGTGCCTCATGCACACTGCCACACCTCTGCCTTGCCAGTGATGTACATTCTGAAGGGCTGACTTGAAATGGCCAAGTTGAACTCACACCTCAGGAAAGCAATTCTTCCTATGGTTCTGAGAAAACTCATCTGTGGATCTCTGGGGCTCTGTGAAAACACACCTGGATTCCACAGGAGGGAAGGAATGAAGGCAGGACAGTGAGTGTGTGTTATGAGGCGGGGGGTACTTCCACCTGTCCTCTTCCACGCTGGTTGTCTACACAGCAAGCTAAAAACCTGCTCCTCTACACAGTCTAGACTGGGGGAATGAAGGACTCACAAGGGCAGGTCCAACGGCAGCCACAGGTCTCCTCCACTCGAACAGGGGACTGGCTGTTGGAACACGAAGGCCTGGGTCCATGGTCACAGTTGACCCGATGACTCTGCAGCAAAGTCTGGCCATTTGGCAAGCAGGTCACTGTGTGGCACTGATCTGGCAAGGTCCAGACTTCCCCGGGCTGTGAAAGAAGAAAAGAGATTTGGGAAAGGACCAGGATGAGGTACACCAAATCTCCCACCATGTCACTGCCTGCCTCTGAGGATGGTCTGGGGCTGGACAGCAGTCTTGCATTAAGGAGAGCCTACATCACACAAGAATTACAGAGGGGCCCCCAAAACAGGCTAATAACAAGCAGTAGAATGAATCTCAGACCAACCAGAGTAAAGTTAGTCCATAAGAAGAAGAACCCCCAACATATACATCTGACCTTCCCTTCCAAGTCAATAGGAAGGGACTTACCCTCTTCTCATTCCCATCCTCGTCCACACAAACTCCAGAAAACCCTGAAACAGACACAGGGAGACACTAGCCACCACCTACACCAAGAACTCTAACCCATTCACATCAGCTAGCCAGTGCAACTCTAGAAAGAATCTGAGCGGGCTTCACATTGATGATATGAGGACACAAGGAGGTGACAGTCCTGTGGTGCCTCGGTCATGCTTTATGACAATTACTAATTGTGATAACAATAGTTGTCACACGGCAGTAACTTTCACTTATGCCATTTCATGCCTGCCAGGAGTGGGTATGGGAGGGGGTGAAGCAAGACTCCTAAAACTGGCAAGAGATCTACTGAAGACAGCTACTGCCAAGAAAGGTCTGTAACTCTGTAGAAGGTTTTGATTTAAAACTAATTACAGGGGATGGAGAGATGGCTCAATGGTTAAGTGCACTGGCTGCTCTTCCAGAGGACCTGAGTTCAATTCCCAGCACCCACATGGCAGCTCACAACTGTCTGTAACTCCAGTTCCAAGGGATCTGATACCTTCACACCAGTGCACATAAAATAAAGCTAAATAAATTATAAAAATAATAATTACATTAACATATAAAACCAGACCAGAAAACAAAACATGTTTCTAGCCTAAAATCAACTTAACCTGTGGTCCTTTGATACCAGCTTTGATGATTTATTTCTAAAGCCCTTTATAAGTGTGCTGAGAGTAAATATAGGACCATGGCCTGCAGGATGCTGGGGTTCCTTGCTTATATCCCCCAGTTCTTGCATCCAAAATCCCTCAGCACAAACAAGCCTGATGGACAGTTCCAGTGGAAGCAGGATTGTGCACAGAAATTTTTCCTGAGATCCCTGGAGGTGATAGTATATGCCTTCCACAAACAGAAATGTGAAAGCTCTGATTCATATGGCAGTCTTCATTTAAGACAAAATTTTATACACAGGCATCCTTGAGTCTTTGGAGTGGTGTTTTTGTTTTTAATGGGCTTTCTGGTTTGGTAGTGGTCATGGTGGCAGTGGTTGATTGAGAACTGGAAAAATATATATATATCAAAAGACTTACCAGAGCACAGTCTATGGAAGAAGGAATTGCCCGGGGTAACTATGGTAGGGAGATCTTCAACTTGCTGGAGCTTTACCACATTGGAGCTGGCCCCTGGGCCTGCCAAGATCCTCAGCTGGGCTTCATCGTAACGATCCCCGACACCAATGGGGAACACCGCCACCCCTAAAGTAGCCAAGCAACGAGAAAGGGTCTATGGTCAGGGGAGCACAGCATATACACTACGTCTAGCTCCTGTCCAGAGCCTCCTGCAATCCAGGCTGGCCACACACACAACTAGCATGTGACGGAGATGTCACAGCACATGCTCACGGGCTGCTTCTGTATGTCAAGCACCGCTCTAAGCAGTGGGGATACAGCAGTGAACCAAACAGATGGCGTCCCTGTCTTCTGTCCTCGAGGCTAACACTAAAGGAACATAAACAGCAAACACACAGACTAGTAAATGTATGACATGTTCAGGTGTGGATAGATGCTTGAAAGAAACTACGGGATGAGAAAGATGGAAAATGCACAGAGTGAGAATAATCATTTCATGGAGAAAGACCTGTGTAGTGGTTTGAAAGAAAATGGACCCCAAAGGGAGTGGCACTACTAGGAGGTGTGGCCTTGTTGGAGGAAGTGTGTCACTGGGGGCGGGGGAACGGACTTTGAGGTCTCTTTCTCAAGCTTTACTCAGTGTGACTGTCAGCCAGCTTCCTGCTGCCTGTAAGGTGTAACACTCTCAGCTCCAGCACCACGTCTGCCTGCGTGCCAATATGCTCCCCGTCATGATGATAATGGACGGAACCTCTGGGACTGTAGGCAAGCCACCCTCAGTTAAATGTCTTCTTGATAAGAGTTCCGTGCCATGATCATGGTGTCCTCTTCACAGCAGTAGTAAACCCAAACTACAACAACCTGAAATAAGGATGAAGGAGGCAAGAACATAGCTGGGGAAGAAATGCCCCACGCAGGGACAGACCATGCAAGAGAGGAAGTGAAGCCTGGTATACGCAAATTCTCACCAGCAACATCACCAACCTAATGTCTTCTCTGAAGAAAACAGAAAGCCAAGACCGTGGAGGGGTAGGGGGTGACAGGAGCTCGTCTGTGCAGCTGCTGTGTGGAGGATGAGTTACGAGAGTGGGAGTTGGGGGTCCACTTAGAAAGCTATCCCAGTCTCTCGGGTATGGGATGGTGGGGTTTGCAAGCAGTGGTATGAGTCTCAATATTTTTTTGAAGATTCGACTGTTTGATTGGATTGCATGTGAGAGAGAGGGGGGACTCAAAGGGGCTGAGACTTCTAACCCGAATAACTAGAGAGAATGAAAAAGATGACAAGAAGGAAATGCTGAGGTGAAGCAGGAGTAGCGCTAACGACGAACTGCCTGTTAGATCTAGGCTGAGGTAAAGCGAGAAGTCTGAGCCGGAGACAGGAATTTCAAGGTCAGTGGTCCATAAATATATTTAGACCCATGACACTGAATGAGATCACACGAGGGGATGGGTGTGAAAAGAGAAAGTCTGGGGACCCGGCTCAGTGGTAGAGTGCTTGCCTAATGTGTGCAAGGCCTAGGGTTCAGTGCCCAACACTGCAAGAGGAAAAAAGGAAGAGGAGAAAGGACATCCACCTACCCACTCCTCCAGCATTTTAGTGGGGTCTTGGGGTTGTGCACCAGACACTTACGGTTGGATCTGGCAGCATCTGCTGCTGTGTCCACTGAATCCAAGGAGGTACCCAGGATGAGGATGACCACTGCTTTGGATGCTCCAGGCCTGGCTCCGTGTATTTGTGAAGTTACATAGCGCACAGCAAATGCCAGAGCATCCCCTGAGGAAGAGAAATGGTTGGAGTCAGAACTGATCACAAAAACTGGGTTTTCTAAACCCTCTGAGCATTGGGCTTAATTAAGGCTGACCCTTGGCAAATCCAAAAGACAAACAGTTATGACTCAGAACAACATTTGGTGGGACTGGAAAGAGACACAGAGGACCATCTAGCTCCTCGCCACCCAAAAGAGGAAACTGGGGCCAAGATCACTCAGTCCCTTAAGCCAAGAATCAAGACCAGAGGGCAGGCTCTACATCTAGCTTGTGGCCCCAGCATTACCAATTTTGCTGGGGCCACCCTCTCGCTGCATGAGGTCCACCAAACTCAGTAGGTGGGCTTTCTCTTGGGCCACATTCCATGGTACATCGATGGTATTGATGCTTCCGTATTGCAGCACAGACACCTGAGTGAGGTGGGGCCCTAGCAGAAAGAGGAAAGGGGAAACATTTAGAATCAAGCGGACCCCGGGAAGAGCCGCTATCACCTGCTGCTCTGGAGCCATAGCTCACCAATGTTGGCCTTTGAAATGAAAGCCTTGGCAAAACTCTTCATCATATCAAAGTAAGACTCTGGCAAACTAGAGGAGCCATCCAGGAGGAGAACCACATCCAGGGGTTGGCTGCAGTCTGCAAAGAGGAACAAGAAGATGAGCACACAGGTACCAACAGAAGATCAGCCAGCAGCCCCCATTGCAGCCAGTGGCTCCTCAAGGCAGCACTGCGCACACAGCACCACCACATAGGGGGACATTTACCAGTGAAGTCACAGCATGGGGCTGGGACAGGTAGAGGGACAGAAAAGACAATTCCTGAATCTATGAGTTCATTATATTGAGAGACTCTGAAAGGACTGTGGCTCTAGCCACACAAGCGCAAATGCCTGCAAATGAAAGCAAAAGACTGCTCCCTCGATAGCAGGAAAAGTGAGTGGGGCTGTTTGTGGGGAGCAAGGGGGTCAGAAAAGAAATATATATATGAAAATGTCATTATTAAGACCCATAAATAATTAATAACCAAAACAATTAATAAGGAAATAAAATGGGCTTCTGTGTTCTCGGGTCTAAAGTCGAATAAAGTAAGAGGAAAGGCAGAATAGTGTGTAACTGGGAAAGAGGCTTGTGAACTTTGGAGGGACCAAGAAAATATGGCATTGTCCATGGGAGAGAAGGAAACTGTGTGATGAGGAACACAACACATGCTAATGCCCGGGCATTAGTTACTTTTCTTATTAGCGGAAAAATCAAAGCCATATTAACTAAATAAACAAAAACAGACAATGCAAGGACTGGTTCTTCTGCTGTGTGACACCAGGTTATCAGCCTAGCTACTCAGGAGTGCTGCAAGCTGTCCAGCCTGCTTGGGTCTGGAGTGAGGTTGAGGCCAGTCTGGGCCTCAAAAAAGAAAGGAAAAGAGGGCTGGGTGGCTCAGTGATAGAGCACTTGCCTCGCTGGGTCCAAGCCATTGGTTCAGTCTTTAGTTTCACCGTAGAAACAAAAACAAACTACATCCTGTTTTGATGCCAGTATGATTAAGAAGTCAACAGTTTAATCCCAGTACTCAGAAGGCAGAGGCAGGAGGGTCTCTGTGAGTTTGAGGCCAGCCTGGTCTACACAGAGTTCCACGCCAGCCAGGGTCACTTAGTGAGATCCTGGCTCAAAACAAGAAGAACAAACAAAAACAGTAGCAAGAAGCACTTTTTGAGTCTTCACCACATGCTAGATGCTGTTTCAAGCATTTTGCAAATAGTTGCTAATATCCACAGTTTATAGATAAGGAGACTGGCAAGCCCAAAATTACCAGCTACTGAGTGGCAGTTCTGGAACCTGGCTCTGGATCTGCCTGTTTGAGCTGCACCTGTGCCGACCTCCCAGCCTTGCCTCCAAGAACATAAGCTACTTGGAATAATTCCATGCACCAGCATGGCCCAAAAGAAAGTTAACAATCACCAAAACTAATAGAAGTTACCTACCAGGCAGAAAGTGAGTCTGAACTGGGTGTGGGGGGGTTAATAATACTTGCAATTTTTCTATGCATTCTCTGTATTATTTAAATTTTAACAATGGGTCCCTACTACCATTGAATGTACAAGCCTGGGCAATAAGAAAAGATCCTTCCCACCCAAAGAATAGTAAGTAGTTGAGCTCTCTGCCTGGAAGGTAGGAGAAACACAGGTGGGGTGAGGTAGTGTTTGAGTCAGGAAGTTAGCTTAGAACCCAGGGGTCCTGGCATCCTCAGATAATGCACACAGTGCCAAGGCTACCGCACATAGGGTACCATTCATCGTACCAGGAGTCGGGGAGAGGGTGGGCAGCTGCAGCCCCTCCCTGGAGCAGCATCTCTGCAGGACCAGGTCAGGAGCCTCTCGGGGAAGTGTCTCAAAGTCTCGGATGAAGATGGGAGCATTGGGCCAGCCAATTCTCTCCAGTTCCTGTGTGTTGGCACGGGGGCCCACCCCAATAGGTACCACCTGGATGTCTCCAGGCAACCTCTTGATCTCATCCGAGGCAGGGTTCCCTGTGACCAAGTAGACCAGATTAGGTGCCTGTTCCCGGTCCCCCTGGCTGGGAGAGAAGCTGTACTCGGAGAGGTACTGCAGGGCCTGCCCAGTGTTGGTCCTGTTGCCACCGTGGTAACGGATCTCTCGCACATGCCGCAATACATCCTCCTTGGACTGGGCTTCATTGAAGGTGTACTCCACAGTTGCCGTGTATGAATACTGCAGCACGGAGATGTGGGTGCCATCCTGGCTCACATCCATGCGCCGAATTACCTCCTCCAGGAATTCCTTGCTCTTATTGAAGTTAGCTTCACCCACTTTGTCCGACCCCTCCAGGACAAACACCACGTCCAGAACCATGGACTTCCTCTTGGGTCCAGGTGATGAAATCCCCAAGGTCCCTGGACTTGTGGTGATTTGTGCTACCTGGGGACGCTTAGTAGGGGCTCTGGGCTCAGGGGCTAGGTCGCAGAGGTAGCTGATTATTTCATCCCTTCTCTGCTCCAGCTCATCCACCCCACTGAGCAGAAAGGCCTTGTTTTCAGGGGCCTGCTTTTCAATGAGGCGGACCTGCCTAAGGCTGGCATGTGGCCCAATTCCCACGGGGATCACAGTGATCTTCTTCTGCTTCAGGCCCTGGACATAACGGACCAAATTCCTGGCCAACCGCGGGGGCTCCTGGCTAGCAGTCAGGAGTAGAACGATGCGGGAGGCTTCGGGGCGATCAATTCTGCCAAAGATCTGGAACAGTGTGTACTTCAAAACCTCGCTGGTGGAGGCCACCTGGCTACCTGCGTACCTAACCTGGCTGGCAATGCGCCGAAGCTCGGAGGGCCGCTTCCGGTCTTTAAGGTCAATGTAAGCATGGGATCCATCGTGGTACTCAACCACCGCCACACGGATGCGCTTCTGAGAAATGTGCAGCCTCTCCATCGTGCCCACCACAAAAGCCTTGAGCACTTCAAACTCAGCCTCAGACAGCCTGGAGGAGCCATCCAGCAGGAATACAAGATCTAGCAGCTTGCTGCAGTAGAAGCTATGCAGGGGCGGCTCAGGGGTCTCTTCTACATATGGGGTAGTAGAGCTGACCGGGCCATCTGTTGGGGGTACCACCAGGCCTCCAGGCTCCCCGCAGGCTTCACAGGTGAGGTTGACACCATCACAGTGACTGTGGCAGAAAGGAAAGAAACCAAAATGATTCAGGAAGAAGCTGTGGGCAGGCAGGACCACCTCACAGGTCCCCTGCAGAACCTCCCACCTGCTCCCATTGAACACGTCTCACCCAAGTGAGATGCCATTTTTGACATTTGTTCCAAGATGTGTCTTCAATATACATGTGTGCATGTGCGCGCGCGCACACACACACACACACACACACACACACACACACACACACACGAGAGCGCACTCACATACACATGGGAGGGGGAGGAAGCAGAGCCTTCCTAAAGCTTTAATCCATCTTAGAACCTGAAAAGTAGTCTTTGTTGTTCTAAGCCCTCCGTAGCCATTTAATGTTGATTTCTTTCCAATCTATGTCTCTAGCACATTAATATTTAATTATAATCCAAGCCTTCTTATAAGTGTCTCCAAGGACAAATATCTTTCTAAAATGTTGGCACACGCTGGAACTTGTAAATGTTCCACTGGAGATAAATGGCTCACATTAGAAAGCATTATAGATGTTATTAGAATTTAAGCTGTATGGATTTCGAACCATGTTTAATTATGTTGGGCCTCAAGGAAAAGAAGGAAAACTGGAATAAGAAGATTTTAGAAAGATGAATAAAAGTTTAAAATCGCTGTTTCATCTAGCAGAAAAGACCATGTGGGAGGACTAGGTGTGTTGGCAATAGGAAGACGGTGAACACAGAATGTCTACCAAGTACTAGCTAGCCCTGCGCTCAGCCCCCAAGGTACTCACAAGTCTGTTCTGAGTCATTGCCCAGTCCACAGATTTCTATAATACCAGATAACCTACCAGCATTTTCTAATCACTGCACCCTTCTGCCGTGTTCTAGAAAGTAAAGGAATAGGCCAGACCAGAGAGGAAATGTGCTGTGTTGGGGCTCCATACAGGATGGGCTTCCTCCACTCTGCACCCTTGGTCTTCAGCCTTTACAATAAATCTGAGAAGGTGACAGTACTCTTAAACCCTGAGCATGTCCCATGGCCTCACTGCCAGTCAATGTCCCCAACCTGCCTTGAACTCTGATGCCCATCATTGTGTGTGTGTGTGGTAGCTGTCCCTCTTTGTCGGCCAGCTGAGGAGGCACAAGGTGCTTGGAGCTTTCAAGTCCTTTGAGCTGGACACCCTAAATAAGCTTGCAGTGAATGTGCCCCCCCCTTCTTCATGTCTGTTTCAGTGCAGTGAAGGTGGGTGGGACCTTCCCAGGAAGTTAATTCCTACTTCCTCATAATCCTGCAATTTATGGCCTCAATCCTTGGTTAACGGTGCATGAGTGACATACTCTCTGGTTTCCTGTGTTTGCTAGAAAATTCACCCTGGGCAGTGCTTGCTCTTGTTTGTACAGATGGTGGCGGCAGGATCTGGCTCTGGCAGCTGTGGTCACATCCCCTCCCCAGTGAGTTGACGTTCACATTAGGCTTGATTGGTGTCAGGGAGTGGTGCCGACTATGTCAGCTTTTTAATAAATGTTCCCTACCTAAGGGCAGGACTTCAGAAAGCCCGGGAAGCACCCTCAGGACGCCTCGCCTCCCCAAAACCAGGTTCCCAGAATTTGTTCCAGCAAGAGGCCAGGGTGACAGCAGTGAGCGTCTCTCTTCCTCCCAGTTCTGAAAGCCACATCCTGTGGCCTGGACCCCAGCCCCAAGATGCTTGTGTTACGCTTAGGGCCAAGGACCCCATCTCCCTTTTCCTTCCTCCATCCAAAGCTCCCCCAAAATATTTAATATTCATAGATACTGGTCCTCAGACTGGATGTGATGCCCTGTTATAGCGAAGTAGGAATGCTAACTACCCTCTTTTGGCCATACATGTTTCATACATGTGTTGGTATATTATATTGCATCCCCCAAAATGTATTCTTTAAAACATTGAGGGGGAACAGCGCCTCTTAAAGAAAGAAAATCAAACTCCAGGAACAAAGCCAACAGTGCACCAAAGGATTGGATGGATGGATGGATGGATGGATGGATGGATGATGGATGAGTGAGTAGAGAAGGATGGATGGATGGATGGATGGATAGATCGATGGGTGAGTGGTGGGTGGGTAGGTGGGTATGTGAGGGATGGATGAGTGGGTAGGTGGGTAGATGGATGGATGCATGGATGCATGGATGGGTGGATGGATACATGGATGTGAGGGATGGATGAGTGGGTAGGTGGGTAGATGGATGGATACATGGATGCATGGATGGGTGGATGGATACATGGATGTGAGGGATGGATGAGTGGGTAGGTGGGTAGATGGATGGATGCATGGATGCATGGATGGGTGGATGGGTGGATACATGGGTGTATGGGTGGTAGATGAACTAATTAAGTTCAGCCTCAGTCCATGCTGCCTGGAAGTGTTTCCCAGAGACCAGGTTCTGAGAGTCAGCATAGGAGACAGCCAATCATGAAGTCTGCTTTACCAGTTCTGACAGTGTGTAGGGTCATCTGGGCTCAAGGTGATTCTCTTTCCAGGGGCCAAGCGCCGGCCAGCCACCTCACACACAGGGCAATCTTGGGGGTCCACACAGGTCTGAAGAAGTTCATCCAGGATTCTCCCTGTACAACATACCACATCAGGAGCCCAACAGTCCAATCAGGTAGCTCCACCTGCCACTAAAGGAACCTGTCCCAGAAACCCACTCTCCCAGCTCCCAGGTGGTCACCTCACCACACAGGGGGCATCCTTCTTCTTTGGGGCCTTGTCTGCCCCTCTGAGAAGCTGGGATGAGGCTTCCTACACCACATTTCTCCCTTCCCAAGCCCTATGACCAACAAAATCTTATCTCCAAACAACCAAGGAGTGGCTGGGCTCAGGTAGCTCCTACTAAGCAAGAACTCAACAACTTTAGAACTGGGCTGTCCAACGTGACATGCCCTGAGGCCAGTTATGTGCAAATGAAGCATAATTCAGTGAAATGAAGAAGCTGTTTCTGTCATCATTGCGTTGAACAGCACTGCAGCAAATTCTACTGGAAAGTGTTGCTTTCTTCAACTCGGAAGGCTAAGGCAGAAGGATGGCAAGTTTGAAGCCAGCCTGGGCTATATAGCAAGACTCTATCTAAGGGGAGGGAAAAAGGAAGGAAATGATAGAAAAGGGGAGGGAGGAAATGGGGCAGAGAAGGAAGGAATGACTGCTCTAGGTGATAAACCCACAAATGGGCTCGTGAAAGGCATTTTAAGAAGGAAGGGAGTATAGCTAAGTGGACGAGCACAAGGGGCCAGAGTTCTTTCCTCACTATTGCAACCTGACATGGCAAAACTCAGAGCTGGCCTGGCTTTGATGATGATCCAGGCAAACAAACTTGTTTGAAGTCCAGGGATGGGGGGGAGGGTGCCCCTGGACAAAGGAGGCCAAGATGAAGCAGAAGAAAAACACCTGTCTAAGAGCCCATCCCTCCAGCCTGCTCTAGCCAATGAGAGGCCTCACCTGGAGGGCAGTGTGCGTGGCACCCCTCCACACACTGCACAGGGCAAGCCAGAGGCTCAGGGTGCTGACAGGTGACTGGGCAGGCAGGTGCACAGCTATTATAGCGCCACTCACACTCGTAGCCATTTTCCTGAACATTTCTTGCTTCACAACTCTGGGCTGTGGAGACAAAGGGAAAAAAAAAAGGGTGCTGACCCTAGAAGTGCCAGGTGACCCTTGGCAACACAAGAAGTCAGCGTCCCTTCTTCCAGAATTTCTCCAGAAGTCTCTACATATCCATCGTGATGCTATGACCCGACTCACAGTCTTACTGTGAATTCCTTACCCTCATCACCATCTTCATCATCTCAGAATCCATGTTCCCGCTCATTCTTAAGGAGATGCCTTCATCACTGTTTTAACTCCCCTCCAAAGCCACATTCCCACTGCTTTTCTTTAGTATGAACTTTCTCTCACCACTGCTTCACCCCTTCAACCCGAGCCTCCATCAGTGCACTGGAGCCGTCCCTCTCTGCCACCAGAGTTCTCTTCTTTCCTCCCCCAAGCCTTCAAGCTTAAGGACCTATGGGGAGGTGCATCCGAAACTGTGAGGACTTGGGGACTCACGGCACAGTGTGGGCGTCCTCCAGGGTACCACCTGGCCATGCTGGGCACACACATGGGCATAGGCAGCGATGGTGTCACAGAAACAGGCGCAGTCCCCAATGGACTCGCAGGAGCAAGTGTCATAAATGCAGATGTCCAGGTATGGCTCGGGGTCCACCTATAAAAAGAGCCCCAAATAGCCTCAGCCTGAGCCAGGGGTGAGAACTCTGCCTCATGGTTTAGGGTACAAGGGATGGGGTGGGGGGGTGGCTCCTGCACCAAGGAAACGCAGAACACGGGTTCCAGAGAATGAATGGGTGAAGAGGCAAATTTCTTTGTTTCTAATATGGATTCCACTAAGAAATACTAAATAAAGTAGGGTTGGTAGCCTCTCATGCATATTGAGATGCCCTCAGAATTTGATAGAAGTTCCCTCTGCTGTCTCCTGCCTACCTGCCTAGTTGCCTGTCCTTCCCAGTAGCCATGAATGTGGAGTCATTTTATATAAATACACACAAACTGGTCACTCTCTGTCCTTGCCTCACACTGAGCACTTTTCACTTTTCTTGTCTCCAAAACATGCTACTACACTCTCTAGGCTTCTGTAGAGTAGTTAGGAAGGATATGCACTCATCAGCCAATGAGTTGTTGCTCCCAAGACATTTCAGCATCCCTAGGAGCCCCAGCCCTCCCCTTGTCTTCATTCTTCCAACTCAGATGCCACCAAGCCATAGAATCTATGTGTCCTTTGGAGCTCTCGTGATCTGTAAATCTCTGGATGACTGAAGAACTGAGACACATGTACTCAACTCACCATTCCTGTGTTTGTGGCACTCCGTAGCACAGGTGTGTGCACATGGATGTGTACTTCTGTACACAATCACACATGCTCACATGCGTGCCTGTGTGTGCGTGCACACACAAATGCACAGAGAAAGAAGGCCATTTAACTTCAGAGAATTCATCACTACCATTTGAAACAGAGGAATAAAAAGGTGCCAAAAATTCAAGGACCCCACCCCCAAAACAACTGGAGTTGAGGCCAGATTTACAGATCACCAGAGCTCCAGTGAGAAGACAATTGGGCACTGAAGCAAGCTTCTCTTGGGCATTGATGGTTAGGGAAGTTTTGACTGGATACATAGAACAATGACACGGAAAGGAATTCCCTGACGCTGGTTGGAGACAATGCAAAGAGAACCTCAGACCAAGGGACTTCTTATGTACATGGAAAAGTGCTTGGCCAGCCATTGCTTTCCTCAAAAACTACCCATGCTCCTCTTCAGCTAGAAGCCAAGAAAGGGCTATCGCAGTTTCTCAGTATGAATCATTTCAGGGCTCCCAGCCTAGTTAGTGTGCACATTAGACATTCACAGTCAAGGAATCCACAAGCCTTTAGACCATCTTCCTCCCTCCACCCACAAAGCCTCACCAGCCTGTTGCAGCCCTGGAAGATGTCGCTGGTAAGGATTCTGCAGGAGGAGTCCACCATGGTCTGCTTCATGATGTTGTTGTGGCAGGTGGCAGGGGGAACATCTAGTGACAGCTGGGAAGAAGACAGAGTACTGGAGATGCCAAACATCAGGTAGCCTTGCTGAAGAGACTCAGCCCAGGAGCCCAACTCTGCCACCTATAGTTTCTGCCACCACAGCCCCTAAGAGAATAAGGGGACCCTCCATCCACACAGCCCCCTGATGTACCTTTCTTGTGTTGGCACACTGTGAGCTCACTTTCCAGGAATTCCCAAAGTCAACAGGGTCCTCCTCCACCTGAAGACTGCTGCTGGTGAAGTCATTGTTCTGGATGCCATCAAAGTTCCCACACAGACCGCACACCTGCTCCTGGGTAAGGGGAGGGATGCACGGTGTAAACCTCGGTGCACTCTCTCAGTCAGGGGAAGAAGGTACCAGGTGACCAAGGAGTCATGGATCATCAGAGGAGGAAGGAGAGGGGGAAATGGAGGAAGGAAGAGGAAGCAGACAGGGAGACAGACCCAAAGAAGAAGCAGGGTGTCAGCAAAGCCTTGCCCTCCCTGGGGCCTTTCCCTACACTTCCACACTGACCCTGCTCAAAGTCATGGACACACAGAGAGGCTATGCACCCAACTCTCATGGTCAACGGCAGAGGTGAGCAGTAGGCAGCGTGGCCCTGGATCCCTCCATGAATCATCAGCCTCCCTGGTCAGACTATGAGCAGAAAAAGGAGCAGGCGCCACTGTTAATGGGTGAAAGAACAGAGAACTAAAGAGGGAACAGGATGGCCCTGCTTTGTGACAGGCAGGGAAGTTCCCTTACCCAGGGGACCATAGATTTCTCAGAGAAACAGGTGAAAATTCTACAGCATGAGAAACATCATCAGGGAAGGGCTAACTATACAACCTCCCACGGCAGGCATGCGCACGGAGTCCTGAACAAGCCAGCTCACACAGAAACCATCAAGTAAGGACCTGGGAAGATGGGTGATCATAAACCTATCTCACTCTCCATACATGGCCAGAACCCAGTCCTGGGACAAAGGAAAGGTGGCAATCCGTTTTGTAGTGTTGGCTTATAAACACATGTGTAAGTCATTGAGGAGCATGTAAGAATATCCTCACTCTTAGACAAAAGTCTCGGCATAGCCACTGCCTCTCTGAACCCTTGCTAATGAAGAACCCTCCTCTTCACCCACTGGTCTCGTTGGTCCAACTCTCCAAACATCAGCCACCTTGGGATCTTCATGCATCTTCTCCATCCACCTAGCTTCTCTCCCTAAATATCCACAATTCTCACTCCCTCTCCTCCATGAAGACATCCACTGCAGGGTCATCTGTTCAGACAGGGCTCATCAAGCTAGCATATCTAAAATAATGTCCCCATAAGAATGTGATCTCCACTGTGCTTGTGGGAAGTAAAGCCCTGGCTCCACCAAAGATGCCCATCCCAACCTGAGAGCCGTGACTGTCACCCCCCCCCCATGGCACTACAGTTTTCACATGGCTTCCGTGCGTAGTTGAATCCCCAGAAGGTTTGCTCTCTGAAAGTTTGTGCCCCCAGTGTGACATTGAGAGGTGATGTGACCTTCAGCAGGTGGGACCTAGTTAGATTTCATTAGGTCACTGATGATGTCATCCTTAGAAGAGATAATGCCATTCTCATGGGATCCCCATCTCCATGACCACAGTGGAGATTATATTCTTATGGGGACATTACTTTAGATAGCCTAGTTTGATGAGCCCTGTCTGAACAGGTTGGTTTTTACTCCTAAAAATGGAGGTGAGATAGTTCAGCAGGTAAGAGGTATCAGCTGCCAAGATTGATGATCTGAATTCAATCCCTGGGACCTACACAGAGAGAATGAAGGTGTCTTCTGACCTCCCACATACCCTGGCATATACGTGCCCACACCCATACAAACATAGATGATTGACTGATACATAGATGGATGGATAGATGGATAGATAGATAGACAGATAGATAGATAGATAGATAGATAGATAGATAGTGTCCACAACTATACACTAGATAGATGGATGGATGAGGGGGTAGGTGAGTGAATGGATAGACATAGCCACACCATATACTAGATAGATAGATAGACAGACAGACAGATAGATAATAGATACCTAGATGCATATATAGAATTTTAATTAAAATAAAATTAAGCAGGCTAGGCCCTTGAGTTCCTGTCTTCGTTTCTCATATGTGATCCTCTACATGTAGCCATTTCCCTCCCCTGTCTACTTTACCTTCGTTCACCACTGCCACAGCCAGGCCAGTCTCTGCCACAGACCAAACAGATAGAGCCACCCAGTCCTGCACTTTCAGCCTCCAACAACAATAATGAGAGTTGATAAACCTCTTTTCATCGTAAAGTACTCCAATTAGAGTATCCAGAACATGGAGTAATTCCCAAGGACAGAGGACCTTGGTACCATTAAAGTTAAGATCTTGAGATAGGAAATTGTCCTGAACCATTCAGGTAAGCTGTACGCAACCACAAAGTCTAGCAAGGAGACAGGAAGAGGTAGAGCGTGAAAGGCTTTGTGACTGACTGAAGTGTGGAGGCATGGGAAGGCCTGAAGATTCTACTGAATAGCAGCTCACTTTGAATATGAAAGGTGGGACCACAAGCCAAGGAGTGCAGCCAGACTCCAGAATCAAGAGAGTGCACTTGTCTCTTGTGCACTGCAGGAATGCAGCTCTGCCAACTTTCTGACTTCCAAAAGTAAAATGCAATACACTTGTTGTGTGTAAAGACACTGCATTCACAGTGATTTCTCACAGCAGCATGAGAACACACACACACACACACACACACACACACACACACACACCTGGCTTTTCCCCTTTCTGTACCTGCAATGCCTGGGACAGTCAATACACTGAGTAGAAACATAGTCAGGATTGTTAGACCTTTCTAGAAATGGAATGGGCTGCCTCCAGGAAGCACAGGCTGAGCAGCCCCCATTGACATGAACAATCCAGACATGGACAGCACTGTCAAAGATGGTGCGGAGGCCGCTCTCAACAAGAATAAAGAGAGCCCCTTGTCACAGTCATGCCACGATACTTTTGATACCTCCCAAAACTGTGGAAACCTACACAAATGCCATCATCTTTCCCAAAAGAAGATCCTCAGCAGGCTAACAAAGTGCTATCAAAAAGGGCTAACCTGGGACCCGGGGAGGTAAATCAGATGGTGAAGTGCTTGAAATACCAGCAAGAGGACCCGAGTTCAACCCCAGCACCCATTTAAAAAAGATAGCTATAGTGGTATGTATTTGTGACCCCAGCACTAGGGGGCAGCGATAGCAAGTCCCCAGAGTTGACTGGCCAGCTAACCCAGCCTGACTGATGAACAAGCCCAGGTCCCAGTAGAAGACTTTGACCCAAAACACAAAGTGAATTACTCCTGAGGAAGGGTGCCTGAGATTGCCCACTGACCAGCCTCCACATGCTCACATACATGTGAACCTCCACACATACATGTGCACACACAGATGTGTGTGTGTACACATGAGCATGTATGCTAGCCTGGGCTCGCTGATAAGGCAACATTCCAGAATAGATGACAATGATTTACTATTATGTGTGTGTTTAATTCGCCTCTGTGGGTTAAGAAACCTAACCTATCCTTGACAAACAAAACATGTACCTTGCTGGGCCAGTCAAAACATTGTCAAATGTGCCTCTGTCCTCTCTGGGTGCAGCCAGCCTCCATGACTACTTCGCTTTCCTTGTCTGGGGAGCAGGAGGCTGCACCAGAAAACCACTTTTCCCCAGTACAATGGGGAAGGGCAAAGGTCACTACTTGGAGAGCTGACGACAGTCCACATGAGTCACAGGCAAGATGGAACAAGAAGGGCCACTGACCTGGTATGTGCGCTTCAGGACCACGGAGACACTGAGGTGGTGGTCCCAGACCACGGAGAGGGCTGGACCCAGCAACAGGAGGACGTACCGGCCAGACTCCACCACCTCGAAGTGAGACTCGTCTTTCAAGGGCTTCTTCACATTCACCTGAAGAAGGAAGGAGCTGACACATGAGGTGCTGGGAGCTGGAATTCAGGGCTCCCCTCTCTTCACAGAGTTGTCTATCTGCCTCACCCACCAACACCAGAGCTGGCTCTCGAGACCTGCGTGTCACCAGCCACTTTCTATCGGAACTCCCTGAGGCCAGCACTACATCCGGGCTTTTCCGTGTCCCTCTGACCCACCACCCTCCCATGATGACAAGATGTCAGTGAGAGCACAGTGAAACAGACCATCCCATTCCCCATTACCTCACAAGAAGAGATGGTGTTTGACCCTCGGTCATCAACTGCGCCAGTCCCTGGCTTGCTTTTTAATGTGGCAATGATCTTAGTCACCTCTAGTCACCCAGTTGAAAAAAATCTGCTTATCTATAACAGTGAGCCCCAAATTCACTTTCTTGCATCCCACCACCCTCAATTCTCTGGAGCGACTACCATCAGGAGTCAAGACTGAAGGACAGGGACTGTGAAGCTCCGTGCTCTAGGCAGAAGCTTCCAGAAGTCTGGCCTGAACTCCTTACCCTGCCAGAGTCATCTCCACAGACAAGCCCTTGAAACCCACTGCAGAACACTCCAGTGGGCTGTCAGGTTCATAAAACAGAGGCTGAGACCAAGAACCTGTCACTCTTCACAGACCTCCTCTCCTGAGGAGCGTGCCTCACATGGAGCTCGCCATATCTGCAAATCCACACCCACCCCCCACCTCCCCCACCCCCGAGCAGATCTGCCATCACCTCTGCAGGCTCACAGCTATCATCTGTCCTGGAGAGAACTGAACTCTGAAATAGAGCTGACACTCCTGGCTCCTAGTCAGCACACTTCCTAGATAGTTTTTCTTCCCTGTCTATAGAAAATGCACTTCCAGGCCCCAGCTGTCAAAGGTGGGTATTAACAAAGCATCAGGGAGCAGGTAGAGGCCACGGGAGCAAATGAACACAGTCTTTGGGGGTCTGTAGTGCTGCACATATCCAAACCAGCTGAATCAGATCTGTGACCCAGGAACAACCAGTCGCTGCGAAGGTAGGTTCTGGGGCTCCCTCCCAATCTACCCAAGGTATGACGGAACCTAGAGATCGACACTTAACCACTTCTTGAGCTGTCGGGATCCAGGGGCTACAACTGCTGGTTCTGCTTCTCTTTTCATCTTATCAAAACTATTAGTCTGAGGAGCTGGGGGTGTAGCTCGGAAGGAGAGTGCTAGCTCAGTACACCCAGGCCTGGGATCCAACACCAGTGCCACATGATCTAACAAGATCCTTAAAATATAAAGTAACTAAAAAGCACCCCACAATGTCCCTTCAATAGATACACATGCAGTGGTCACCACATATCATTAGTTTTGCCTAATGGAGTTTCAGTTGATTACAAAAGTATTGAATGGAAAATTCCAGAACAGTGACTAAGTCTCAAATAACTTCCATCACAACATATTGCAGTCATTGCTCAATTTTATTGCCAACTCTCATGCCTTATTCTCTCTCCTTAACACTCAAACATCATCATCTGGGCTGGTCAGTTTTATGTCAACTTGACACAAACAAGGTCATCTGAGAGGAGGGACCTCAGTTGAGAAAATGCCTCCATAAGATCTGGCTATAAGGCATTTTCTTAATTGGTGATTAATCAGGAAGACTCCAGCCCATTGTGGGTGGTGCCATCCCTGGGCTGGAGGTCCTGGGTTCTATAAGAAAGCGGACTGAGCAAGCCATGAGGAGCAAGCCAGTAAGCAGCACCCTCCATGGCCTCTGCATCAGCTCCCGCCTCCAGGTTCCTGTCCTGTTTGAGTTCCTGTCCTGACTTCCTTTGAAGATGAACAGCAATGTACAAGTGTAAGCTGAATAAACCCTCTCCTCCCCAACTTACTTTTTGGTCATGGTGTTTCATCACAACAATCAAAACCCTAACTAAGACAACACACACACACACACACACACACACACACACACACACACACACACACTCTATTGAGAGGTGATACGCACGCACGCATATATATGAGCACACTGGCTTCTGTACTGTCTCTGGTTTCAGGCATCCACCAGGGGTTTGTCTCTGAGGCTGAGAGACCATTGTACATGGAAGAGAAACTCCTGCCTGCTGTGTGTTCCACCCACCTCCCCCAGTCAGCCCTGCCTCCTCCCACACGTAGGCAGAGATCACTGTCCATCCTTTGCCACACACGTACCCCCACGAGAACCACAATGGGCTCACACTCTCTGTATTGGTCTGCCAATTGCTCTGCTCATAGGATAACATGTCAGGACCAGCTGTCGCTGCTGGACCCTATTCTCCACAGTGGCTGCACATTCTACCAGCACACTCCCAATAAACAGAGGGACAGCAAGGTGACATGCGGGTAAGAGGGAGAAGCTGGCACTTACCTCTCCATCAGACAGTTCAATCTCCCCTCCTTCCACCAGGATGGTGACCCGTTTCTTACACGTCACTGAAGGATAGCTGCATCCCTCATTTCCCACCAGGATCCGAAAGGTCCCAGGGTTATCGCCACAGTAATCCTGGGGAAAGAAGGCACCAGGAGGGGAAGATTATCCCTTCTCCCAGATCAGAAGCTGACATGGTGACCTCTGGGGTCTTTGAATGCACGTCACAGAATATCATCCTATGTGCTGTGTGCATGGGGGGAAGGGAGAGGGATCCACAGGCAAACTCTCAGGTGTCCAGCCTCAGCCCTCACAGATGGGCCTGGTGCCCATGGTCAGCACAGTGGCATGGTAATGAACAGGGGAGCCAGAGGGGTCAGCAAGTATGTCCACATACAAATACATCTACAAGCGTACACTTACCAATGCATACACAAACACAAACAAACTCACGTGCTCATATATACTCCCACATGCATATACATGCTCACGAACACACACATGCATGTGTACACGTTTACACATGCACCTACACAGGCACACAATACACATGCTTAAACATGTACATAAGTAAACATGTATGTACAGGCACATACCTGTACACACATATATGCATACACACATACTTATAAAATGTGTATGTGTTTATTTGTATCCATATACATATAATGCATACATACACATACATATAGGTACTCACACACAGAGATACAGAAAACGCAGCCCGGCCATCTGTCAGGGGAGCATTAGTCCTCTCCCTGGCACTTTTGGGTGAACACGAACCACTTTTGAGCTGGTTCCTGGCCACACAGGTTAGAAGCGGAACAAGGCTGCAGGTATTGGCTTGTTTCTGTCACCAGCGGGCTTTGCAAAGGACAAAGCTAAGCCCGATGATGCCTCCCACAGGGAGGGCCCCAGGAGAGGAAGAGGATCAAAGTGAGAAAGAAAAACAAGCCTCCTGTCTGGAAGGGGATTCCTGAAAAAAGGTTTGCTCTGGAAGGCTTCCAGCCAGAGGGTGCTAGGGTGTAGGTGATGCCTCTCCTAAATCCATTGCTTCTGGAAGCTGATAGACAGATTGACCCTTGAAGCGGGGGCCACCCTGTCTTTTGATGCTAAGGCAAAGAGCCTGTGGGGGATCTCTAGGGGGCACACCCAGGCCAGAAGCATCAGAAGAGCCATTTCGAGGTGTGAATACGCTGTCTCCCCACCACACTGTCTTCCTGGGCCAGCTGGGGTATGTGAGGACAGCCTGGCTGGTGCCCCAGAGGTCCCACACCCTCCCAGCATGCTCTGCACATGGTGAACCTGACACACAGGCCTGCAGCCCTGTCTCTGGCTTTGAAGTCCCACCTTCCGATCACTCTAAGCAGCCACCTCCCCCAGAGAACAGACACCAAGAAGCTGCATCAGTCCAATGTGTCACAGAGTGCTCAACTCCAGGAAAGCCCTTGTCGTCCTTGAGGAACCATCTGGTGTCAGCCAGCAAGAAAACTCACAGCGGCCCACGAAGTGGGGACAGGGAGGCACAGGAGCTGGCAGCGACTCATCAGCTACGACACCCTACGTTCTTTCTGCTGGACTGAATGGCACCTGTGACCCCTGTGTCCCCAGGCCCCCCTCCAAACCATGTGAAACTGACAGGTTGGGGATAAAATGGTGGCAAGTTTCAGTAGGACATAGGTCAGGCAGCACACTCCAGGGATCCCTCAGCCCAGGGCTACTTCATAACAATGGGCTATCGGGGAGGGTGAAATCCAGCCGGGATCAGCTCCCCATGTATGCTGGTTTAGGTGTCCACCAAAATGAAGAGCCATCTTTCAGAGCTAAAATGCCCTGAGGGTGGCCTTACCGCATGCCAAAACAGCTCTGAAAATGAAATCCTGTTCTTAAACTTCCTATGCCGTCAGGCACCCTTTGGGGGATTAGAAAATTACTCTGACGAAACCAAACCACAACGGTCTTTCTATAGACGGAATCTGACCCGGAAATTCACAGGCTGTAGCCAGCACGTCCTGCTGTTACATACAGAAGGTACCTCCTCTCCTTGTTAGGTCTCACCTGCACCAGAACATACTGGCACTCCCCAGGGAAGAGGTACTTGAGTCCATCAAAGGTGATGTAGTTGGCCATGCCAATGGCAGAGCAAGTGGCGTCACACACGTGGTCCGTGCAATTCCACCTCCGGTCCCGGCAGACACTAGGAAGAGTGTTGCTGGTTTGCACCTCAGTGCCAGGGGCTCAATCAGGTCTTAGGGAAAAAGGAGGCAGTGGGGGACAGAAAGATGCCAGGTAGTCACCGAGGTAGCCTCATGAAGATGAGCATTTGCAGCCTGTGAAAGGATTACAGGCCTTGCACGGGGTCTGCAGGAGAAAGGTCACGCTGCTCTTTAGTTCCAAAGAGGAAACAGAGCTATGGTGTCCAGGGTGATCCGGGATGCTGAAGAGAAAGTGGGAGTTCTCTAAGCCATCTGCCATGGACTCACTAAAAAGTGTGGCCTCGGGCTGGAGAGATGGCTCAGTGGTTAAGAGCACTGACTGCTCTTCCAGAGGTCCTGAGTTCAATTCCCGGCAACCACATGGTGGATCACAACCACCTTGAATGAAATCTGGTGTCCTCTGCTGGCCTGCAGGCAGAAGACTGTATACATAATAAATAAAATCTTTTTTTAAAAAAAAAAGAAGTATGGCCTCACCCTAAAAGCTGCAGAGTGGCTGAGATTAGCCATAGGGTCACTGTATCACAGACAGACCCAAAGAGATCTCAGCAGGGACATTCTGAGGCTGGAAAATGGAAGGAGTCTGCCAGGAGTGGTTTTGTGTGTGTGGTTATGTGTTTATTCCTACACCAATTTGCTGGCCGCAGGTCCCAACCCTCACTGCCCTTAACCAGAGCTGATCCAGGGAAGCCACTCATGCGTCAGAGGTTGTGAGCTCAGACCTCTCAGGCGTTCATCCCTTCCCACCTCTGTCCACATGGGCCCTAAGATTGTCTATACCCCAGAGTGAGAGGTGGGGTGAGCGGAAGGGAGCCTGTGAAGGATAGCCAGAGAAGGCAGAGGGAAACAACCACTGGCCCCTCGCTCTCAGAACACTCTCGAGCAGAGCAGGGCCTGTGGGGAGAGATGGGCCTAGAGATCCAGCCTTAAAGAGGAAAGAAATAGATATATATCCTGGAGGTCATCATGTTAAGCGAATTAAGCCAGACTCAGAAAGACAATTATCATGTTTTCTCTCATATGCAGGGTCTAGACTTTTTTAAAAGATACAAAAGTAGAAGGGAGACTATTTGAGGGAGAGGAAGGGACAGCAGGAGCAGGGAGAGGGACAAGAGGGGACAGGGGAGAGACTATATGAGCGAAGTAAATTATACCCATGTATGTAAATGTCATAATGAAATCATCACCTTGTACGATTAATAAAAATACATAGAAAAGAAGAAAGAAAGAGGGAGGGTTGAGAGGACCTTGTCAACACCCCCCCCAAGCCTGGTCACTGTGAGCCTCTGTGGAAGAAGACCCTCTGAGAACAGAATTGCCCATCTGTAGGGAGCAGGTGCTTGCCTGAGCAAAGTAACAGGAAGAGGCATTTCACAGATGGGGAAACAGAGACGAGTCGGGAGAAGAGCACTCGGATTCCCAAGGGTGTGAGGACAAATGTCACAAGTCCTGTGTCCCTCAGCCCCTCATGCCACCTGGATGGCTGGTTCCCCGGATGTCCCCAGAGCCTTACCAGGTGTTGCAGTCGATCTTCACTTTGTCTCCTGGGGCATACTCTTGGCCCTGGTGGAAGCAGGGACACCGTTCCAAGGCCACACACTTGTTTTCATGCCGGACCTACAGGAAAAGAACTCAGGTGTCTCACGGGCCTCAGGAACTGACATCAGTCACTACTGAGGACGTGTCTTGAGCCTGCCAGGAGGCCAGCATGAAGAAAGGGACTAAGCTCAGGGCAACCTCAGCTACAAACTAGCCAGGCAGGAGCCAACACCAGGCTGAGTGTTGGCACATATGGGCGCCTTCCTGTCTCCCTGTGTGTCTCCCTGTGAACCAAAGACACAGCTGCCTCTGCCTCTATGCTGGGTAGCATAGAGGGACACATTTGCAAAGACTTCAGAAACTTCGTCAGAAGCCCTGGAAGTGCTCTCCCAGGCCCAGCCATGCCGCACAAAGAATGTCTCCAGAGGACACAGGAGTTATGGATGGAGACTAAAGGGGAATTACTCACCAATGAGCTGAAAGGGGGAAAGGAAAGAGTCGTGTGTTCAGAGGCAGGCAAATGGTGCTGCTCTTAAGGGAGCCGGTTTGCTGTGGAGTGTGGAGGGTCCGTCACAGGGCTCTTAATGAGGTGAGCAATGCCTACCTCAGCTGTTAGTTTTTCAAATGGGAGGAACACTGTACACACATGTGGTCCCAGTTTCATGTGTATGTCATGCAGATTTTGTCGTTAACCAAAGCTAGAAGAAGGGAGGCTGCCTCCAGGTAGCGAGCTGTGAGATAAAAGAGTTCTGGGCTAGCCAGGCGTTGGTGGCGCACACGTTTAATCCCAGCACTCGGGAGGCAGAGGCAAGAGGATCTCTGTGAGTTCAAGGCCAGCCTGGTCTCCAGAGCGAGTGCCAGGATAGGCTCCAAAGCTACACAGAGAAACCATGTCTCGGAAAAAAAAAAAAAAAAAGACAGAGTTCTGGGTTTATTCTCTTTCTTTAGTTTTAATTTTTCCCCCAAATGTTCTTTGATGAGTAGATGTTATATCTATGATTAAAAATGGATCTCATGTTTGATGAGAATTAAAAAGCATTTAGTGCCCTGGAGGACAGACTAAGGACTAGACAGAAAAGACATACCAAAGTTTAGCTGAAAGTGTGTTCGAGACACACATATCAGGTGACCCTCCTCTCAAGGCCAGCTTTTCCAGTCCTGATGCTCTGACATGCTATCCACAGAGGTGCTGTCCCTCCCTCCCTCCTCACCATCCCAGAGAGTGACTCTGTAATGTGCTACTACTCTTCCTGGGTCTGCTAGGGACAACTGGGTGGAGAAAGAAACCAGACCAGTTGGCTCAGTGAACTCTGCCAAGCCTACCCTGACCCCATTGCCATGATCCATTGCCACCTCAACCAAGAAGCAGCCTCGGATACCCGAACTGGCCGACCTCACCTGGGATGTGATACAATGTACTTTGATCATATATTCTCCTGTTAGCTTCTCTTGTCCCTTGGGACCCCCTAGGTGAATGCCCTCAGCTGCCGAGCTCCAGAACTCCCCAGCTATTAGACAGAGGTACCTGATCTAGATGATTCTCACTCTAGTGATCTGCTAAACTTCCCTGCAAGCTTGAGTTCCTAGACCTTCAAATTAAACTAAGCCCTAGGAATATGTGTATGCAAAGGATTTCCACATACGAAAAGCAGGTTAAAATGGTGTATGCACACATATGTGTGCTGGGAGATGGACAGAATACTATTCTCCACTTAGCCCCACATCTGTCAGCCTCAAGAGGTGTCCCCAGGTCCTATGGCCTCTGAATATTGGTTCAAAGAGCTAGGAATACGCCAGCCCACTGTGTCCTTGGTAGTGCTTCAGCCTGGGACCACAGTTCTTAGAGGACAGGGAGCTTAGAAGGCCAGCAGAGAAGGCAGTGGGTTGGTAGGAGCAAAGAGGGGCTGCAAACATCTCTCCTTGGAGCCTTCCGAGGTTCACAGCAAAGGTCCCCGCCCATATCCTCCAAGCCTTGTCAGGTTAGACTTCAGTCTGAAGTCTGCCGCCTAGTGGCTACCATAAGAATGGCAGACACGGGCAGACTGTTATGTTAGTGGTACCAAGCCTTCATGGGAAGGGAAGCATAGCCTGCTCACCTGGTGTCTCACCTCTGAGGGATATGTTCTGCCTGTCACCTGCAGGTAGGCTTGATGAGGGGTTCCTGGGACCCCTGGTGTGAATCCTGGATCAGTCCAGGCCCCCTCTGCTCCCACTTTATCTAGGTGGATCCATGTGCTCAGCCCTCCTCCAATGTCCATACCTCTCAGACCCCAGCTCTGTGATAGGACAGTGCTGCCGTCACTGTGCTAATGAACCATCCTCCTGAGGTCCCACTGGCCATCACACTCTCCTCTCTGTCCTGACTTATGCTAGTAAAAGCACATCACTGACTGGCAAGCTGCAGCATCAAAATCTAGCTCAGTGTTCCATAGGACAGAGGCGCCGAGGAGGCAAACCATGACCTGAAAGGAGAGGAGGGATTCCCAGGCACTGTGTGGAAACCTCCTGACTTTTAGAGAGATGATAATAGAAAAGCCTGGTCAAAAACACCCCGAGAACCCCAAAGCCTTAAAAAAAAATCCCTGGCAGCTGAGAACCACAGAGTTAAAGGAGCCATGCAGCAAATGAGGAGGGAGCTGGCCAGGAGTGGGCAAGCTAGGTAAACAGCCCATAATTGAGCTGTGTGTGCGCAGCAAGTCATGGTTTGACATGAAGGCATCCAACTGTATCCGGTCTAGCATGTCCTTCAAGAATGCTACAGTGGTCCTGAGATAAGATTTATGAAGCCCGTAGAAGATTTCAGGAAGTATGGCAGGAATTAACTCCCCACCCCCCATAGGTTATCAACTTGTCATTGTCCAATAAGCATTGTGCAAGCTGAGGACATTGTCCTCACTCAGTTCCAAAAACAATGATAAAGCAGAAAAAAAAATTTCTTTGTCACCCTTCTCTGGAAATTCCCCTTTATTCCTCCCCACACGTGAATGTCATAGAGATTAGTCTCCCACATGTTTGCTTTCACCTGCTCTCAACAGCTCTATTCCATCAGTAGTCACAGTTCAGTGGAGCGGAGTTCAGACACATGTTGACTAGGAGGAGAGCAATGTGACCAGGTAACTCACAATAACATGAAAATGACTCTTCCTGGGGGATTTATCATGCTGCAAGCTTTTTTTTTTTTTTTTACAAAGTCTTGCTCGTTAACCAGAATGAGCATCCACCCATCATGTATCAGTGAGCCTGGCTAGGTGACAGACTGTCAATAGAGGAAGTATGTTTGATAGAGATGGGCTTTCTTGGATCTTATAAATGTTTATAACTTGATAAAGCTCTCACCTGACAGACACAAGGGGCCCCTAAAATATCTGGTGCCCAAAAAGGAAGCTCACTCCAGGGGGGACCCTGTACCTTGGATCTAGTTTGAAAAAGAATTGTCTGTATCTTTCAGTCCATCCAAGGACCAGCAGCATAGCACCCTTCACAGTGGCAGGACGTTCCCCATTGCCCGCAGAACTGGGTACCAGTCTGAAAGATGCTACGTTTCAAAGGATAAATCACCATCTCCCAGAAAACATGCTACACTTTCCTCAGAGGCCTAAATACCTGCAAGCCAGTGCTAGGGCTTAGGGTTAGGGGATCAGGAGGGCTGAAGAGTCCTAGTTCTGCTCAAAGCTCCTACAAAGAACGGCTGTGACTGGAATACAAGGAGCAGGGCCATGGGCTGTGCTCTGCTGCAGACTAGTGGCAAAGTTAGGAAATACCCTAACGTAAGGGAGTGGCTGCACCAGGCAAAAAGTTCAGGAGTATTTTTCAACTAAAGTAAAAGGTGGATCCTGAGCTATCTAGTAAGTTCTGGACCAGCCTGGACTACAAAATGAAGCCTGTTTCAAAAATTCAAAACAACCAATAAAAGATTTGGGAAGCCCTTTACCACCACGTATGTGTTTATCTCCATGAACTTACTAAGACAGTGGTCCCTAGACCAGCACCTACAAAAGCACCTCAAATGCCAATGAGCGTCTGTTATCTCTACCCCTCCCTCCAAGTCCTTCTAACCCAATTTCACAGGTGAGGAAACAGAGATGCTGTAAGGGGACCTGAGAGCAGCCGCAGGGGCAGACAGTCTGCTGCCTGTGGGTGGGGCAGGCCTTGGCTCTGAGCAGGTGCCAGGCCTGGGACCCTGCACAGAGAAGGCCTCCAACATCTTGTTTCTAGGCTTAGATGGGTCATAGACTTTCCTTAAAGGAGGAAACATGGTTTTTAGATGAGGACAATGGCCACTCAGAGAGAGGCCAGTGACAGAGCTGACCTGTGACAAGGAGACTGCAGAAACAGACTGCAATGTCATGTCTGTCATGTGTGATGGAAACTGGCTGGAGCCTGTACTTTGTGTGGGTTTTGTTTTGTCTTGTTTTTCATTTTTGCTTGTTTGGTTGGTTGGTTGGGTTTGTTGTTTGGAGTGCTGGAAATGAACCCAGGTCCTTGCACTGACTCATAGCGGAAAAGCCCCTATAGGTTCATCGTTTTAATACCTAGTCCCCAGCTGGTAGGGCTATTTGGGAGAATTAGGAGGTGTGGCCTTGTTGAGGTTTCAAAAGCCCACAGGATTCTTTTTTTTTTTAAGATTTTATTATGTATACAGCTGTCTGATCTCATTCAAGGTGGTTGTGAGCCACCATGTGGTTGCCGGGAATTGAACTCAGGACCTCTAGAAGAAAAGTCACTGCTCTTAACCGCTGAGCCATCTCTCTAGCCCGCCCATAGCATTCTTAGTTCCTCTTTCTCTGGGCCTCCTACTTAGAGATGAGGATGTGAGCTCTCAGCTACTGCTCCGGCACCATGCCTCCCTCCCTCCCTTCCTCCCTTCCTCTCCCTCCCTGCCTGTCTGCTGCCATGGTCATGGACTGTAATTCTGGAATTGCAACCCAAATAAACTCTTCTACACGTTGTCCTGGTCATGGTCTCTTATCACAGCAATGGAACAGGAGCTAAGACACACCCCCAACTCCTGTCATTGCTTTTTGTTATTTCATTTTTTAGATAATCATGTTCACTGTGTTTACAAAAGCATTGGTTCACAGCAGACTGGAAATGGAAGAAAACAGACCTTAAACCATCCCTCCAGTGGCCAAGAAGAGGCGCTAACCCACATGGTTTCTGAAACTGAGCCTTAGTTATTTACAAATACCACACTCATGGCTCTTACTACAATTCTGTGGAATTTTCTGGCAGTTTTGAGATGGGATCTCTAAACCGGTTGGCTTTCAACAACACATGTACCCAAGGATGACTCTGAATTTCTCATCCTGTTGCCTCTGCCTACAGGCGTGTACCACCACCACGCATTTCATGCTGGGGGTTGAAGCCATGGCCTCAGTCATACAAGAAAAGTACTCTCCTAGCTGTGTTCCTTCCCCGACCTCACTATATTGCTTTTTAAAAAGTATTTTTGCATATATCTCCCTTGCACCCATAACCATCCGAGTGAGAAAGGCAGGGTGAGAACATTACAGAGGAGGCCTTTGGGATTCAGATAAAGACTGAATAGAGAGGGTGGGGTCAGAGGGTGGTGGAGGTGCTAGTTTATCCCCTGAACCCCCCTCCTCCTTGGGCCTCATTTTGTTCTCAGCAGATCTGTCTCCATCAGAAGGTGGCTTGTCTCCCCCTTGCAAGTCTTCAGAATGCAGAATCCCTGGCCCCTTGCTCAAGCCCTTGACATCATGCCATAGTCCTCCCTCGTCACACAGAGTACAGGAGAGAGGGCCCTGGGTATGAGGTCTGCACCATCAGAAGCGCCCAGGCGAGATGTTCCCTGCTCCCTTTTCTTTGTGCTGTGGCCAGGAACACGTGTCGGGTGCTGCAGCCAGCACACTGAGCACACTTCATAAATTACATGGATTTCTCTGCTCGGCCGAATCTGGCCTCAGCTATCTGCACATCAGTCAGCATCGTAATGAAACAGTTGTGAAAATAATCCAACCTCTACGGACAGAAGCTTTGTAAGGGGCCTCAGTTACAGGCATTTCTGAGAATGTATAACAGTGGTTTCTAGATGACAATGGAGTGCCTGGCAGAGTGTCTGCATCCTAGATCTGAGGTCACGCTCCCCACCCAGGATTGGGGGTCTAATGCAGTTGTTGTAGTTATTAATATTTAATGCTACCCGGAAGCTTTCCTACACACACACACACACACACACACACACACACTTGATTTGAAGAAACGTTGACATGATATGACATGACAGAGTGTGCCTATAGTTTTAGCTGCTCAGGAGGCTGAGGCAGAAGTATTGCTTAGGCTCAGTAGTTCAAGACCAGCCTGGGCAACAAAATGAGGCATCCTCTCAATATTTCTAAATTTTCAACATAAAAAAATTAAACAGTTCCTGATGTTGGCATAATCCCAAAGTCCCTTTTCTTGCCTGACATTTCTCTCAGATCAAGATTTCCCCTCTAGAAAGACCATGGGGATAAAGCTGTGAGTCACTCACAGTGAGACCTTATCTCTGGGACTCTTATTCCCTGCTTGTTGCTCAGACCTGGGACTGAGTTCCTTCCTCTTGTAGATCCCTGGTCATCCTGCTCTGATAGTGTGAGCCACACTCTCCAGTGTAAGAGCCAGTCTCTACTTCTCCATTAGAAGAAGATGGTTCTAGAAGCCTCAGGGGAGAAGACAGTGGGGAACACCCTAGAGAGATGTAATAGAACTCTCCATTTGGGAGAGGGGACTACAAGAGAGTAGAGACAGGACTTCTGTCCAGCACAGGCTTCAGTGCCCAGCCTTCCTGAGGACGTGGAATAAGTTCCAGTTTCCATGACAGAACACCCACAGCTCTTCAGGCGGCGTCATGGGTATCGCCAGTGCACACTCAAGCCTTCCCACTTCCTCACTGACCACTACAGGTCAGTCTCCATCCCTCATTACATATTTTGTGTGCGGGAAAAGGGAAGTCGGGAGCAGCATAAAGACAGGATGCCCTTGAAAAGGGAAAGTCCAGAAGTTGCATTTTTCGAGGTGCTGATAATAATATATGGATAATATATTTTATATAAAATTGACCTAATAGTAGCAGGATGGAGGTGGGAAGGCTTGGGCATGCTCCAACCATTGCCACCAGTTCCAAAAGATACATGGAGGAGCCAGGTGGTCGCAAATAAGCATTAGAACTTGTGTTTCCTTTGGGGACATTTACAGCCCCAGAATCAGAATAATGGGACACACAGGGCTGGCCAAGACCTCACAAGCCATTCTACAGATCCAGAAAACAAAGCTTGAGAGTAAGAAAGCCACAGTTTCCTTGTGATGTGGCAGGGACACACTCTTAAGTCACCTAGGGAAATGGAACAATCAGACTGACACATGGGAATATCTGTAAGGGATCACCTTGATTGATAACTGATGTAGGAGGGCCCATCCCTCTGTGGTTGATACCATCCATAGGCAGGAGGGTCTGAGTTTCACACAAAAATTAGCTAAGCCTGAGCCAAAGAGAGAGGGGCCAGTGAGCAGACTTCCTTTGTGGTTTCTGCTTGAGTTCCTGCTCTAACTCCCCTCTGACCTTACAGTGTAAGGTGAAATAAACCCTTTCCACCCAAAGTTGCTTTTCATCATGGTGTTTATCACAGCAACAGAAAGCAAATTAGAACAAACATCAACACCTTCTCTTAAAAGAGAAAAATACAGACACGTATACGTAAATCATGCACCCCTTCAGAACTGATGGAATGTCACCCTTGGGAAAATTCTAGCAGAAATGTCTGTTTAGACGTGTATTTTCTGTAAATAGTTACGTTGCTTCCTAGGGCAGTTCTGTGAGCCAAGATCATCTCTGTGTGTGTCCAATCCCATCAGGATCAACCTCATGTATTCTCCTCCCAAATCTCTCCCTGGACTTAGTGGTTGAATCTGCCCCTCATCCCCAGCCCCGTTTCTTCCTCTCTGGCTGCACAGCATCTGCATGCAAAGAAATGGATGGGAAGATGCTCTTTTACCCATGCCGTTTGGCTCACCATGCCTGGGGGACAGAGGCAGCCAGACACACAGCCCAAGCTCATGCACTCCAGGTCATAGTTCTGGCATGTCTTGGCACACTCCAGCCCTTGAGCCCGTGGGTTGTCAGCAGGACACACCAGCTTGACCATGGGTGGCCGACAGGACAGGCTCCTTTTGCCTTGAGAAAGGAAAAGAGATAGTGAGCAAAGCCATGGCAGGTCACCCTTCTGCGCTGTCCTGTAGCTTCCAGGTTCCGTCACCCTGGGAGATACAAAGCTGCCCACTCTCCAAGACCAGACACTTCCCAGCTGACAGTGCACTCTAGCCCTGAGCCAGGGTCTCCATGTGAGACCAGACTGCAACCTTATCCATCGCAATGCTTTGGGTGAAGCTGGTGGCTGTTCTGTTGACCCCAGATGTCACCTGATGGCCTTCATCTCACATCCCTCTCAACTCTGCTCTCCTTGCACTGAACCAAGGTGCTTTGCGGAAAGTTCCAGACTCAGGCTTGAGAAGACATAGAAGAAGATACCAAAATGGAGCTTGGAGGGACCCAGTGGGAAGGAACACTTATGAAATAATTACAGAGGGAAAGGCCAACAGCCATGGGGACTCTTCAGAGGCTTTGGCTCCAAGGTCAGCCTCTCTGTAAAGATGGTGGCATCACGGTGCCATCACCGATATGCCTCACCCCCCCTCCCTGTTTTCCCACTGTAAGCTTTGTAGATTTGCCTCTGATCTAGAAATGAGAATCTGGTCACCCCTCTCCCTTCTGTGTCTTGTCTTCAAACAGTACAGCAACTGTTCAGCTACTCAAACTGGAAGCCACTAGCCTGAACCCCTCTTCTTTCAGATCCAGCCAAAAATCTTCCAAGGAGGCTTCCTCATCAGCATAGCCGTAGGAAACATGCCATTGGAGAACAGTGGGTGCCATTCCTAGCAAGCCCATCAACTAACCCCACCTACTCGTTGCACTCAGACTACCCCAGGCCAACCGATCTCACCGATTCTGAGAGCTCAATGTTCTCCTTCCACACAGTAAAATACTGCTTGCCTTAGTCACGTGAGTTTACATGTGCAAAGCTGTGTCTGAAAGTCACTCACACAAACGAAGGAGTCAAGGGGATGCTGGGCAGAGCCAGACCCCTGTTTGAACACCTGCACACATCAGACAATACGCCAGCTCTCTCTGCCTCCCACTCACGGAAAAGAGTCTAGACAGGGAGAAGAGAAAAGCCTTTCTGGGCTGCAGTACTCACTGCGGTGAGAGAGGGGACTGCTGAGGACAATGTCTGGCAACAGGCTCCCCGGGCCGACACTCGTGGTACAATGCATGAAGCCGTCTTCACAGTAACTGCAGAGAAGACACCCCACCTTTTGTTAGAGTTTCCCACATCCATTGCCCCTTTCCTCACCACCCAGCCACCCAGCCACCCCACTCACTCTGCTCCTTCCAGCAGGGCTTCAGATCCATGACACTGGGAAGTCTGGCCTGCCAATGTCACCAGTGACCATCAGGCCACCAAGTCCAGTGGGTATCTTCAAGTTCTTTTCCTATGTGATGCCCCTTTGAACATCACCATCACTGATTACTCTGTTCTCTTAGAGAATTAAAACAATCTCCACTGCATTTCCCCCACTTGGCTGTCTGCTCCCTGTCAGCCTCAACTGTAGCTCGCACCTCCTTGCCCCAGACATCCCGAGCTTTCTCTTCTACTATGCTGTCATTCACACCCCAACTCTCATTACAGAAGTGACCCAGGGGTAGTCTCCTTTGAGCCTCAGACCTGTATATACAAATATCTCCTTCATAGCCCCCTTTGGTGTCTCAAAGATGCTGCAAGCACAGTGTGCCCGCACCAGACCCCAGGCTTCCTCCAAGGCTGATCTGTGGACTTCGATCACCACCCACTCAATACAACTCCCTCTCAGAATCTAAGTGTCACCCCAGAGCACCCTCTTCATCAGATCCACCACCACCTAGGGCTTTGCCTCTGACGTTTTCTTTCAATTCCCACATGCTTGTTACTTCTGCTGAGAGTAGACGAGAGTAGATGCCATCACCTCCTGCTTGAGCCATGCAAGTGTCTCCTAACTCATGTCCCTGCAGCTATTCTTGACTCTTTCCAAAATACTCCACTCGGAAGCCAAATATCTTTTCAAACCCTGACCATGACTGTGCCCCACCCTTGCCTGAAATCCCTCAGGAGGATCCCTTCAACAGATGTTCCAGTAAAGGGCAAACCCACGTGATCTGATTCCTGCCTTCCTCCCTCTTCTCCAGCTTAGTGGCCATCTGCAAATCCTAAGGCACACACACACACACACACACACACACACACACACACACACAGAGAGAGAGAGGAGCACACAAACATACGCACATATGAGCATACAAAAATACAGGCATACACACATAAACACACACAAAGTAATTTTTTCTGTTTTTGCACAGCAAAGAGTTAACTGAGTGATCCCTACAGAGCGGGAGACAAGCTTTACCAGATACACATCTGACAGAGTATGTAAAGAACCCCAAAACATTAAACAATAAGTGAACAAGCAAACAATCTAAGAAACAAATGGGCCAAGAACACACAAACAGATCTCAAAAGAAATACAAACATTCAGTAAACACACACACACACACACACACACACACACTCACACACACACACACACACACAGGTTCAACCTCCTTAGCCACAAGAGAAATATACATCTAAACTACACTGAGAGGCCATCTCACCCGAGTCGGCATGGCAATGGTGATGATGACGCCAGGCAGGTACCTCATACCTGCAGTCCTGGCACTTGAGAAGCTGAGGCAAGAAGATTGCCATGAACTAGAGGCGAGTTGGGGGCTACAAACTGAGCTCCAAGCCATCCTGAGCCACAACGTGAAACCCTGTCACCGAAAGGCCAAAAGAAAACCAAATGTAGTGACGATGTGGAGAAAAAAAGAAACTCTTCCGCACTGTTGTGGGGATGTAAATTAGCACAGCCGCTGCAGAAATAAAAAGAAGACAGTGAAGCAGAAAGGGAACAGCTAGGGAAGAATAGGGGGACCGGGGAGAGGGAAAGAGAAGTAAGAAAGAGATATGCAGGTTCACAGTACAGTATGTGCGCATAGGAAAAAGTCAGTCAGGCTCCGGGCTTGGCACCATTATTACACACTAACAAAACCCTCTAAGGAACTCTAAAGCATTGCTTAGGAAGCTGAAGACCTTCACATATGGATCAGAAGGCGTAACAGTGGGATGGCAAACCTCTACAAGTCGCCTACAGATTGAATGCATCCAAACCAAATCCCAATGGCAGTTTCTACAGAAACTAAGACTAGAATTCATGCAGCACTTCAAAGTACCCTGAACAGCAAAACAATCTTGACAAAGAAAGAGAGAAAGAAAGAAAGAAAGAAAGAAAGAAAGAAAGAAAGAAAGAAAGAAAGAAAGAAAGCTGGAGGAGCCACAGTTTCTGGTTCCAAACCTATTGCAAAGCTACAGTAATTACAACAATGTGGGCTGGCAGATGGACAGGTATACAGACCAGCTAAACAAACAGCTCAGAAGGCAGCCGTCGCCTAGACGGTCAATTGAATTTCTACACCAGTGCCAAGACATAGAAAGGAATATATGCGGTGCCGGGAAAATGGAGTTCCTTCTGGGAAAGAATGAAGCTGGACTCTAACCTTACACCACATACAAAATGTGAGTGCCAAATGAACCAAAGGTCTAAGCATCAGTGAGGTCTTAGAAGGGACCATCAGAGTAAATATTCATGACTTGAGATTTGGCACTGATTTCCTGGCTATAATACAAAACCATAAGGAATAAATTAAAAGAATAGATAAATTGATTATGTCAAAATTAAAATATTTTCTGCCCAAAAGAGCACTAACAATAGGATGGGGGCGGGGGGAGTCACAGAATGGGAGGAAACATTTGCAAGTCATATATCCAGAATATACAAAGATCTTCAATAACTCAATAACAAAATAAACAAACTGCCCAATTCAAAACCGGCTGAAAGACTCAAGTAGATTCATTTAAAAAAAATCTACAAATAGCCAGTGAGCCACATGAAAGGATATTCAAGATTATTAATCATTAAAGAAATACAAATCAAAACCACAATGAGATATCACATCATACCTAGTAAGACAACTGTTAGAAAGGGGGGAGCTTGGGGTGCCTCTGTGGGTAGAGAACCCTGCTATATAAGCCTAAGGGCCTACATCTGAAGCCCCAGGACCCATGTAAAGGCAGACACAGTAGCAACCTGTAATCCCAATGCAGCCATGAGAGGCTGGGGGAGAAGGCAGAAGAATCCTCAGAAGCTCACTGTCCAGCTAGTTTGACGTATGCAAAGTAGTAAACCACAGGAGACTGAGGACTGACTCATGAGACTGTCCTCTGACCTTCACACATGTGCTGTAACACAGTGAACCTGTACTCTCACACCACACACACACACACACACACACACACAGAGAGAGAGAGAGAGAGAGAG